ATTCTTTTTGCACCTCTCCCGGTCCACCCAAAATCTTGGAAGCCAATCTGAGCGACAAGGCCGTATATGAAGTCGGGAGGTCGAGTCGCCATACTCTGGGGAAAGGACCACGTTGATCGACGACACCCTTGCCCTGCTGACCTGAGCCGTCCGGAGTCCTCGTTACACAGCTCCGTTCACCATTGCCGCGTCGCAAACATCCCGTCCGTCCGCGGTAATGTGCCAGGTTCCTCGGCCTTCTGCTCCCCCGTGCCCGGTGCGATGTTCCACGGCCACTCGTCCGCCGCAACCTGACTCGGCTATGAAACCTTCTTGTTCGAACTCGCCAGGTCACCTTCTATCATCTACCCGCATGCACCTCGACGATGAACGGCAGAGTTTGGGGAGCGTGGGAGCCTCCCGTTCGTTTGCAAATTTGTCGTCTGGGCAGACCTTTGGCCTTACCCTTTTGGCCTTTTGGGTAGCGAGCTCCGCACAGGTACTTTTCCGTACCGGTCAGGGCGTACATTTAGCGACAACCCACTCTTGACTCATGTCTCCGGTTTTTAGGCGGAACACTGTCTGTTATTCCCTCATGGCCTCACGGGGCACATTATTGCAGGCTGAGAACAGTGCCGGGAGCTGTCACCTCTGCGCAGTTTGCCAACAGCAATAGGCCTCTCGTAGTTAGGCATTACACTCACTGCCGTGGCGTATTCCAGGCAAATTGATCGCGCAGTGCATCACGATCCACTGTTCATCAGTACGCCACGCTCCAGCATGTTGGTTCAGACCTCAAGCAGCTCTTCGTTGTCGATCCTGTCTCCAAGATGAGCTTGTGTTAAATCGGATGTTGCGAGTTGACCAATCCCAAGCTGCGGTTGGATCTCAAAAGTCGCCCCTGTCCTCTGGCTGTCCTCCGGGGACAGCAAGGAAAGGGCCCGAACGCCAGATGTAGTCCCCGGGAAGTTGTGGGATTCCTACCCGGACGGCACGACGTCCAAGATGGTTAGAAATATTCCGTTTTTGGACATTTATCGGTGAGTCGGGTAGCTGAACCTTAAGTGTGAGTTTTGGGCAGCCGCCACTGAGATTCTGGCATCTCTTATGTACATGGAGAGTTTGTCATGTGAACCTAGGTGCGGGGATAGGCGTGTTGAGATCAATGGTGAGGCTCGACTTCCTGCAGGCTCTGGTTCACGCTGGCCACTGGATTCATTGGAGGGATCATCTCTGTGCCGATACGACCGCGCGAGTCGACTGCACTCGGCCGACGTCGGATGGCTAAGGAGCCACGGGAGCCTGAGGTCGCAATAATTCCTCCTGAAAGTCTCGGGGAGGTGGTAACGTTCGCCGCGCTTACGGCTTAGCGCACCGGTCTCCGGCCGTCGTCAGCACCAAGGCCTGCCGGCGTTGCGACTTTCCACTTCAGAAGTTCAGATGGCTAACGGTAATCACATGCAGTCGGGTAGGCATCTTTCCTGACGCAGAAATTGGTCGTTGTTACTTTGGCGTCCGCAGTGGAACTCTCCAGCTGCATGTGAAGCCAATTTCCGAGGCGAATGTGTTGGCCTTTTTGATATGCCGCCTCAAAGTCAATCGAAACACATTGGCGCGTTGCATTCCAGGTGGGGTGGCCTTTAACCCCTGGGGCTGATATGTCAGGGTTTGATATAGTTCATCGTGAGGACCGTCGCGTGTGCGAGCTGAAAGATTTTTTCGCAAGTATACGGGATGGCCTTCTCCATCTCGGCGAGTTTGTTGCCTTGTTTGGGGCGAAGGGGAAAGGGTTCGTGTGAGTGGGTTGTGGCTTAACCGGCGGGAGGACAGATACGAAGTCTGCGGGTAAGAAAAGGTTGAGTTGAGGCAATGTGGGATGTTGTTGGGACTGACAACCTTTTTAGACTTGCGGACCGAATGACTTGTGTGTGGAGAGATGAGAAAAGAGATGGAGGGGAAGTGGTGATAGAGAGAAAAGGACGAACGGGATGATCTCTGTGTCTTTTGTTCTCATTTTCCGTCTCATGTGTGTTGCAGTTGAAAGTTTTACTGTGGCGGGAAAAGCTGTGGATGAATGTGTGTGAGTGGGCTTTCTTTTGTGGTTTGTTTCGTCTGGAGAGGGTGTGTTGGCTTTTCGGGGAGACGTCGGCATCTGCTGTGCTTTGTGGTGACTGGGAGGATGTTGGAGGTTTGAGGTCGGATGAATCCGCTTTCCTGACGTCGGGCTATTAGTAAGTCAGTAGTTGTTGGACTTCAAGATACTGGGAGGATACTGGGAGTGGACGGGACGAGGGTGTGGGCAGTTGGGAAGGTGACTGGAGTTTGTCCGCGGGTGTGTTTGATTGATTCATTTGTTGGAAGTGAAGGTTTGGCTAGTTGGTGGGATGCGGGCGGAGGAAGGGAGTGAAAGCTCCGTTGTGGTGTTCAGCTGGACTGGCTTCTTGCCTCGTGCTGACATCTGTGGCTGGGATATCGTGACTGAAGGGGCTGAGGCGGGGTATAAGAAGCGGTTTGTCCTGTGGTATTAACCTGGGCCAGACCGCAAAATCCGCGAGCTACAACATCTCTGTCCGTCGCTTGCTTGACTAGAAAGTTGGGTGAACTTTGCTTTCTGACAAAATTCTGGTGGATGAAGTAGACTTGCTGACGGCAGTCTTCAACCGTCTTCTGGCATCGTCCTTGGTAGTGTAGGTGGATGTATGCAGGAGAACGTGGAGCGGAGGAGAAGGTTCTGTGCGACTTCGAGTGTAAGACACTCCACTTCTGACGCATAAGTTTGGTCATGACATGCCTGGGGGAGCTTTGGTTATCGTAACCTGGCAAACTGACAAACGATTTGGGTTCTCTCAAGAATCCCCGTCCTTGGATCTGGCAACCTGCTTTTATATCCTGCTCGTGCTTGTCGTTCATTTGGTTGCTGAGGCACGGAAATGCGGTTCGCCTCGACGCGAGAAGCCGGAGCTTACCCAGATGGTATGGCAATGGGGCTCTGGTAGGAATTCCTGTATGGAGTTGCGTGGATGCTGATGGTGATGTGGGCTCGTTGCAAGACGGAAAGTACATAAGGTGCGTGATCTTTCTAGTAGGGAGATTGTTGCGAAGAACGCAGCAACGTAAACGCAGAGACCGAAATTGGCACCATACTCAGTCCCTCATCGGTCCATAGAGCCGCATGGTATGTTTCCCATCCTAAGTTACCATCTGCGTGATGCCTTTGGAATGAGCTTTTCCTCGGCCATGGAAGTTGTTCCCGTCTCGCACCCACGTCCTGAAAGTATTGGTTCGCGTATTGGAAGATAGGAATTATGCCACCACAGGCTGAGGTCTTGATTCTAGGCGGGGAGATGGCTGGAAACCTTCCAGCCAGACGTGGCCCGAGGATTGAGCTGTCTGTAAGCTTTCTCCTTTCATTAACTCGCTAACTACCCCAATGGATGCAAACTATGCCATCAGCGTCACGTTGTCATGGAGAAGACAAAATAAACGGGTTGGTACTGTGATACGGAACTATGAGCACTGTTCGTGGGTTATGCATGTTCGGATAATCTGGGAGGAGGATGACTGATGGGCGGAGGATGTTCGTACTTATATCACTGGTTCGGTGCACTGTTCTCTCGCGCAAATTTCCGTGGATGATTGATTTCAGGTCATTGTTTGTCAAAGAAAACGACACGGAAGAACTATGTCGCGATTGTTATGATAGAGGGAGTTAGAGCTGTGAAATGTTACTAATTTATACAAGTAAACTTGTGGGCTCGGTCTACGGAAGCGATGCGCTTATGATTCTTGAAATTCTCTGGAATCGTAATTGTAGTCTGTCTCCTCGAAAAATGGCGTGAACCGCCGTGTCCCAGCTAGATTGAACATGAAGACCAAGCTTGTGGCTGTGACTTATATCCGTTCTTGAAGACACAAGTTTACCTACCTGTCGTCGCGACTTTCGGCGTGATGTAATCATCCGGCGTCGGTATCGTCTAAGCTTTATGAGGATTCAAATGAGCCATGGGCAAATGCATACGCCGAGGATAATTTGACTGCAGTGTTTCATTGACGCGTGACATCACTATGCCTCCAGTTTCCCCGATAATAAGATTAGACTGCAAGCTTTATTAACGACACACGCTTTCCGTACTGTTGAGTGTGTTATCAAACCTGAGATTGAGAACGATCGCTCAATGTATAGTACGTTATCTGCAGAATATTATATCACTCACTGAAAGACATGAGTGTGGCATCACGAAGGGTGTGTTGTGTTTAACGTACACCAGGATATGAGAAGATGGAAGAATGAGGTTGCTTTGAAATGCAGTCAGTATGTTGAAGCATAACCTTCAAGTAATGGAGATTTGCCTACCTTACCTATATAATAGGAAGACAGGAAATGTAGTGTAGGTCCAAAAAATGGAGTCATTGTCTTGGTGGTGGTAGCAAACCCATATCCGTGAGCCTTGCCCTTTGATGATGGTCCACTATATGGGCTGGTGATTTCAAAGGCTCCTGCCCTACTTTTGCTGTTAAATTTCCAAGGTATCTGGAGCCTCTATCAGCTGACATCTATTTGAAACACCATACACCAGAGATACGAGCGGCTGGAGAGGAATTCGACTTCGGTCACACAATTCACGGTGTGATGCTATTACACAGCACGTATTCCTGTTTGATGCGGATATTTGACCAGTACTTCAAAGTTGACAGGCGATTTTGTTTTGCCGTTTGAGGAAGTATGTTTGAAATTGATTGGATTGATATAGATCGTCTTTTGGGAGACTATTGGCTTTGATTGATGACGAATCAGCTTGTATCACAAAAGCCCGAATGTGTCGGACGCACCTGAAGAATCTAAAAGAATCGCTAATGAAAGAGACAGTTGCTTGGTATACGGGAAAGAGTCTACTTGGTGATGAATTACTGTTTAAGTATTGATGGTGGAAGGCAGAAACACCGAATCCGACCCGTATCCTTTTTGCCTGAGAATTATTCCAACCCCATGATCGAGGGCTCTCCCATTCACACACAGCGACCTACACCCTACCAACACCAGCACCAATCTTGACGATAGGGGCTACGAGTGGCAACGGGGTGAGTTTGAACTTATAAGGCGCCTTGTAGAAGTCGCCCTTCTGTGTGATGTTGACACCAGCCTTGCCCCAGTCGTTGGCTATCACAGAACATTTAGCATAACCCATCACATACAGCAGATGTGACAACTTACGAGACCCAAGGTTGGCAAACCCATCCAACTCCTCATCACCACACGTACACGTATTTGGCGAGTCGTCAGGAATGACCAGTCCATACGTGCTGAGCGCCTCGCGCGTGTTCCCGCGGAAGACGTTGCCCTCAACGAGGACCTGGTTGTCGGAGCGCGAGTGGATGGCCTGGTACAAAAAGTCTTCATACAAGTTGTTGTAGATGTGCTGGCGGCCGAAGCGCCCTGCGGGGCCGCGCGTGCCCTCGTTGCGCCAGTGGTTGTGGTGGTACGTGACGTGCAGGTGGCCCGAGTCGAGGTCGCGGAAGGTCGCGTCGTTGCCAACCAGCGAGGACTTCCAGTGGTCGTGGAAGTAGTTCCAGGAGACGGTAATCCAGTCTGAAGCGCGGATGATATCGACCTGGCCGTCCTGTGAGTCTGTGAGTTGGTATCTGCTGCGGGTATAGAAGTTCCGCCATGACTTACGTAGAAATCAGGGCCTTTGCTGATGTCTGAGGTGAACTCGTTGTGGTCCACCCACACGCGCGTCGAGTTTCGGATTGTGATGCAGTCGTTGTCTAGGATGTGGCTGATCTTCAAGTTCTGCAGGATCACGTTGGTCGAGTTGAACACGTCGACGCCCGTGCCGGTGATGTGCGCCGTGGTCTTGTACCCGACAAGGCTCTTGTTGGAGCCAACCTTGAGCCGCGCGGGGAGCTCGAGAGAGCCCTTCAAGACGACGATTCTGGGATCAGCGCCGGCGACGGCGGTCTGGAGCTCCGGAATGGTGGAGACGGTGACTGTTGGGCCGCCCTTGCCGCCGGTGGTCTTGCCCAGAGGGTTGTCTTTGGCGTAGCCCTCGACGTCCCAGGAGGCGATGCCGAGCCAGTCGAGGGGGTTACCGGCGGCCAGGCCTGTGAAGGTGCAGAGAATGGCTTTTGTTGTCAGTCTCATTATGACTTATACTCTCTCGGTGACTTGAATAATCCACCAGAAAAGACAGGGCGTGGAGAGGCAGGAGAAGAGGAGGACGATCTGTAGGATACTATTTATACACAAACATCGTTACAACTGTGTCTTGCCACAGTATGCCGCAGTAATCACATCCGATCTCGGTCAGCGGAAGCTCTTGATTTCGGGTTCCCCTCCCCTTGCTTTCTTTTTCGCAACATCATCACATCTAATGGCCCCATGCGGAGAACCCTGTCCGATTCGCGTCGTGCATCGCCAATGATTGCCATCCGATCCGCTGCTTCGGGATCTTGGCAAAGATCCCGCCAGGAAGCGATTACGCCAAGGACCGGCTAATGAAGACAGCCTTATTAGGAGTGGTGGAATTTTGGTGATCCGTATCGATGGGCAGACCGGCCAGTGCAGAAGATATTTGGGTGAAGAGAATGCGCTTGGTCGCAGCCAAGAGGGACGGGTGATTTGGGGGTGACACGCGAGATGGCGAGATGAATGGCTTCCCGCGTGGTGTTCACGTTGTTCGTGGGTTCCGGATGGGTGTATTCGCGTACATGTGAGGTGTGACAGAGGCTGCAGGAGCATTTGATTTCTGGGCGAAAGATGGTGCCCTTACAAAGGAGAAGGGCCATGCTGTAGCTAGGAAAGGAAGGTCGAAAAGGCCACAATTTGAAGTCGATAGACCCCGGAGTTTGCGCTGCAGCGTTGCATCGTCGGGTCGGGGGAAAATAAGCTCATGGACGGGGTGACGTTCCGGGAAGTCAAATAAACAAACACCACTCTTTGCAACAGACTAAGTTTTGATAACGGTTGGTTTGCCACTACCAATTCTTTGGGGATATGAGAAGGGACGATGAAGCAATGCTTCATTCTACTCGTGTTAAAATGTTGAAAGGAGAATTCGAGAAATGGGTCAACTGGGAAACTCCTCATTCTGGCTCCCATTAGGGTATACCCATGTCATAGTAGCGCAGGGCCTCGACCTGCAATTGCGAACAGACGCGTACTGGCCAAGCCTTGTGGCGCTGGGCCAACTCCCAGGACCAGAACGCCAACCGGAGAAGTGGCTGTATTATTCCATGAACCATCTCGTCCGCGTCTCCGGGAGCACGATATGCGGGAATAGTGCGGGACGACAATTTGAACTTTGTCTAATTGAGCGTGAATGAAGGCATAAAAGCTCTAGGCACGCGTGATCATCGTGCAATACCCAATTCCCTCTCCCCGATTGAGCATCCCGCTCGAACATTTAAAGCCTCGTATCCCAGCACCAGACATTCGGGAAACCATCTTTGTCTGCTTATTCATGCAAAACCTCGCCGGTGAGGAAGATTGGCTCCTTGTTTGAGAAGTTGGAGACGTCGCCCATGATCTCCCCAACCTCCGGGCCCCCAAAAGCCGTCTTGATCTGCTCCAGGTTGTCCCAGTACACGACCGAACCGAATGCGTACAACGGCTTGGCTCCATCTGCCCCAGGCTGGAATTTCGTTACGGACCAAGACTTGACGCCGTACTTACCCCATCTCTCCTGGATCAGGGGCATGTGCTTGGTGACATAATAGTCGATGTCGTACTGGGCATCGTCGTCGTTGGGGAATACGACGGTGATTGTGATGGTCATTGTGATTGTTGGCGGCTCTTAGTGCATGAAGGCTGTCTTTGAATGATGGATGGAATGTAGTTGGAAAAGCACAAGAGGTGAAGGCGGTTGTTGTCAAACTTTACAACATGCCATCTGGAGAAGAGACTGGATGGGTGCTTTTATATGCGCTCTTGACTCGTCGGCAGTTTCCTCGCAGTTTTGGAAATATCAGCAACGACGTCGTCTTGCAGTGACACTCGGACATAGTCAGTTATAATTTCCGCTAGAACCGACGAGAAACACTTCTTAATGGATAACAGAAAGCTCGGAGGGAGTTAGAGATGACGTTGCCGAGCCTCGAGAGACAAAGTATCCACCCTGGTGATGTATGCCAGGATGTTCGTCCCTAGTTCAACCCAATGCAGTGGGGAACCATAGCCCATATTAGCTACTCTTACGGAGTCAAAACTCTAAATGCACTCTGCCAAGGAATACAAAAAGATGGCTTGGAGTACGCCAAATTACATGTCTTGATGTGATCGCAGGTTGACCATTCCAAATCTTTCTGCAATTGGAATAATACATTTCACTCTTTTTCACAATGACAGTAAAGCCTAAGGTTCTTGTCGTCTTGACATCCCAAGACAACCTCCCTACGCGGGATGGCATGAAGACCGGATGGTACCTTCCAGAATTTGTGCACCCCTATAACGCACTCGCTCCTCATGTGGACATTGTCGTTGCCTCGCCCAAGGGCGGCGAAGCTCCGATTGATCCCTACTCTGTCCAAGAAGCCAAGGATGACGCAGAGTGCCAGGCTTTCTTGAAAGAAAAGGAGAGCCTCTGGAAGAAGACGGAGAAGCTGGAGACTATGCTTCAGAGATCTTCAGAGTTTGCTGCAATCTTCTACGTCGGTGGCCACGGACGTAAGTGAATCAATTCTGAATTCGGAGTGAGTGCCGTGAGATCTCTGACAACATTTAATGTGTAGCCATGTTCGACTTGGCCGTTGACCCGGTCTCCCACGCATTGATTCGAGAGTTCTACGAGAACGGCAAGATTGTCTCGGCCGTCTGCCACGGTCCTGGTGCCCTAGTCAATGTCAAGCTGTCGGATGGAGAATATCTAGTCAAGGACCAAGAGGCGACTGGATTCTCCAACGCCGAGGAGGATGCGTATCATTTTACGGATGCGATGCCTTTCTTGCTGGAGACTGAGATGAAGAATCACGGAGCTCACTATGTCAAGGCAAATCGGCTTTTCGGAGTCAAGGTCGTGGTCAGCGGCAAGGATGGTCGGCTGATTACCGGGCAGAACCCGCCCAGCGCTGGGGTCATTGGAAAGACTCTTGTTGAGGCAATTGGAAAGCTTTAGAAGACAATCATAACCAGTGTTAGTGGAAATGATTGCAGGAGACTATTCACACCTGAATCGTGTGCGGTTTACCACAGCTTGATATCGTAAGATGAGGTCTTTCAATTCCTAAAGCAATTTCAAAGTATTTTACGTAATGAATTGTTGAGAAACGGTCAAAATGATCCTCCCGTCCTTGATCAACACGATTCGACGGTTTGAAATAAACTGAAGACTCCCGAGCTGGGCTCCGGCCGTGCTCCGGCTGCCCTGCCGAAACAGGCCGGGCCAGACCCGGACTGGACCCACATGAGGGCTTTCTTTTCGCTTCACGACTCGATTTTCCACCACACCAAATGCCAATGCTCCATATTCTCAAATTTTGCTTCCCGTCTCCAACAATTTAAATGGTTTCGTGGTGTAGTTGGTTATCACGTCAGTCTAACACACTGAAGGTCTCCGGTTCAAGTCCGGGCGAAATCATCTGGGCGAATGGTTTAGTGGTATAATACTCGCTTAGCATGTGAGTGGTCCAGGGTTCGATTCCCTGTTCGTCCAATCTTTTGCTCTTGAGCTTCATGTTGATTCCTTTTGAACTTATTATCTATCTGTCCGATGAGTTGATTGAGTTGACGGGCGCCACTGCCCAGACCGCGCACTCAGTACAGGCGGGGCCGAGCCAACCAATGAGATAAATTCAGCCTAATTGAATAAGAACAAGGAACAAACCCCAATGCTGCAGGTTCGCATCCTTTCAAGAATTGGTGCTGCTACGCATTACCTTTTTCGGAATGTGGCTGCTTACCAAGGCTAAGGGCACGAATGAGAGCTAGGCAACCGGCGAAGGATGCACATTTTGTTGATTGGCCAAGAAATGGCATGATGATAGCTTCAAACTGGTTAACGTGTTGTTCCAGTGGATCTTCGAGTTGATGATTTTTATGAGAGCTTGTCAGTATCCGCTGCGGCTTGAAGGCGACGTGATCGGGCTGTTGGCTCGTTTTGTACGTTACTTTGTCCAACTATGTGTCTTGCTGCATGTACCCGCTGTTGATCACCTGGACGCTGCTGTGTCGCCCAGGGACATGAAGAGCCGAAGCAATTTACCTTGAAATATCCGGAGCCGATGGCCTCCAGGCAGCCCTACAAAATGTCCAGGCTTCCGTCGCGCACACTGCCCTTGACAAGTTGACATGGGTAATGCGGGCGCGCTACCGGGGGATCACCCTTGCTAGTCTCCACGTTGGGCCCAACTCTCTGGCTCGCGTCTCCCACCTGTGGCCCCATCAAGCCAAACATGGGACGGGGTATGTCAGCATTGAGATGAGTTAAAACCCCAGAGCTTCCCCTCAAGTTTGACGCGGAGCTTGGGTCAATTCAGACATCAACCTTATCCCTCCGTGTTACCCGTGGTGAAGCCGTCACGACTCGGGAAACCGCAGACTGCTGTAATTTGAACGCTAGTTTCAGATCGCGCGGTCCACCATGGCTCCCACGTCATTGATCTTCCCCGAGCTCTCCAGCTGGTCAGGAATCGGCCTGCTGGCAGCGGGAAGCTTTGTGATCTTCTTCCTCATCAGCCGAACATTCTACAGAATCCCCTACCCGGAGGGCATCGCGCTCATCGGCGAGCCAGAGGGCGCGACGCGATTCAGTTTCCGCACCATCCTTCGGTACTACACAGACTGCCCAGGCCTGTTCCGGGAGGCCTTTGACAACGTCAGTCCAAAATTCCTTTATCGCTGCCCATCAATCCAGTTCGGACGCTAACCCGCGTTGGTCGATCCAGTATGCCAAGAAAGGTAAAGCCGTCGTGATCCCTGGCTTGGGCTTCCGCCACGAGGTTATCATGCCCACGAGCACGATGCGATGGGTCTTGACGCAGCCCGAAGACCAATTGAGCCCAAGCGAAGCATTCGCGGAGGTCGATCAGATCCACTACGCGCTTGGAGACGCTCGGTATGTGACGGATGCTTGGCAGGGGCATCTCGTCAAGACAGACATGAACCTCATCCTGGAGAATGTCTGCGCTGCTATGAACAACGAGCTGGGTATCGCGGTCGACAGGTGGTTTGGTAAAGATACCGAGTGGAAGGAGATCGACCTGTTCTCTCTCATCAGACAGATTGTCGCACAAGCGGCTGGTCGCTTCACCATCGGATTGCCCATTTGTAAGACAAAGTTTCCTTCGAAAGTGGTCATCAAACTAACTGATGCGACTTAGGCCGAGACCCAGACTATTTCAAACTCAACTACGAAATCATTGACCATCTGGTCGTCAACGCTGGCGCTGTTGGGGGTGCTCCCAGGATCTTGAGACCTCTCATCGGCTACCTCCTGAACCTGCCGCTGCATGGCAAAATCAAAAGACTGAGAAAGATGTTTGAGCCGTACTGGAACGAACGCGTTGAGAGCTTGAAGTACGGCCGCAACGACCCGGACCATCCGGAGCCGCAAGACCACCTGCAGATGATGGCAAGGTACGCCGAAAAGAACCGCGTCGAGGAGTTCAACAACGTCGACATGATGACGCGACGTCTCATTGCTGCGAACTTCGGCTCGATGCACCAGACAAGCATCCAAGCGACGAACATGCTGCTCAACATCATCGGCTCCGATTCCGAGTTCAACACGATATCCATTCTACGCGACGAAGTTAACCGTATTCTGTACGAAGATGGCAACGACAGCTGGACGAAAGCCAAGGTCAGCAAGATGATGAAGGCCGACAGCGTGGCCCGAGAGACTCTTCGCCTCCAGTCGTTTGGTGGACGCGCAGTCTTCCGCAAGGTCATGGTCGATGGGTACAAGGGCCCAGACGGAAACCACCTGCCCAAGGGCACGCTCATCTCATTCCTCGGCCAGCCCGCTGCCACGGACGGCGAACTTTTCGAGGAGCCCCTCAAGTACGACCCGTTCCGGTTTTCCCGGATCCGCGAGAATGCCGCGGCCAAGGATGAGAAGGTGCCCCGTGTCTCGTTTGTCACTACCAGCACCGATTATTTGCCGTTTGGACACGGAAAGCACGCGTGCCCTGGCCGGTTCCTGATCGACTTTGAGTTGAAGATGATTATTGCCTATGTTTTGGGTCACTACGATGTCGAGTTCCCCGCAGAGTACAACGGGCAAAGACCGCCAAATTACTGGATGACAGAGGCACTGTTTCCCCCCGAAGGAGCGAAAATTAGAATTAGGAGAAAGGCTAAGGCATGAAAGGGGGGTTAGACATGAGATAGCTGCCCACCGGCAGGGTGGGGCGTGTCGTATTCGTATTTACCCCGGTGGGATCTCAGCCAGTTCGTCTGGATTGATAACACATGAATTCAAATCATTAGAGAGTCTGTCACATCAACCTGCAAGTCATGTCCAAAGGGAAGACAGGATATTCCAGGGGTAATAAGCGGACCCTATCACACCCATGGCATTTGACGCACAATATTTGACCGAGACGGCGACTTCGGATTGACGAATACACTAACAGCTACGAACTATGTACAGGAATGTTCTAATACTTCCAGTATCTGCTGAAAATTACACCCGGCCGAAATCCCTCAGCTATCTACCCTAAACACATTGAGAGTAGTACTCGTTGAGAACCTGGCAAGTCGAACCAGAGGCACAAGTCGTCGAGCCACTGTATCCAATACCACCGCACTGGCCATACTTGGGCACGGTGCTGCCGCCGGAACCTCCTCCTGCGGCGGTGGTAGTCGTCGTCCTGGCAGTGGTCGTGGTAGCCGGGGCCGCCGCCGTTGTCGTCCGAGCCGTGGTGGGGCTGCTTCCGCCGGCACCTCCGGGGGCCGTCGCGCTGGATGTCGCGGTCGGCCGGGCGGTGCTCTGAGCAGCAGTCGAAGACGAGATTCCCGCCGCCAAAGTCGGACCGGGGATTGGGTAGACCAAAGGCGAAGTGTACAGGTTGAAAAGAATTCCGGGGTCGTCTGACTTGTACAGAGCCGTGCCCTTGACACCAGCCGGAGCGAGGGAGCCGCCGCCAGTGACCTGCAGGTTGAAGCACTGCGGGTATGCCTGGGCGCCGTTGACGTTGCCGCCAGAGTGCAGCGCGATGATCTCGTGGCGGAGAACGTAGTTGCCTGGGGCCAGGTTCGATGGAATCTGGACGGTCCAGGTGAAGTTGTTGGCCATCAAGACATCGTCGGCCCACTTGCCGTTCGAGAGCGACATGTCAATGAGACCGCCGGCGCTGATCTTGAAGAAGTTCAGCGAGGTCTTGTCGACGGACTCGCAATTGCCGCTGCACTTGGCAAGGTAGTCGATCACAGGGCCCTTGTGGGACTCGGGCCATGTGTTCCAGACGAGCTGGATCTTGGCTCCTGCAGGGACGGTGGCATGGCCTCCGGCGGGAGATCCGTTCTTGTGGCAGATGATATCGCCTGTACCGAAGTTGACTGGCTCGACGAAACCGTTGTCAGGGGCATCGATCTTCCATCCGACGACCGGGTATGTGGGAGGCGAATACGTGAACGCAGGAGAGTCCCAGCCGCGGTAGGCGACGTTGTCAGCCACTAGCCAGTCAACATGGCCGTGTGAGGCGACCAACGTTGCCAAGGATAGCAGCAGAGAGGAGGGAGTGATGATGCCCATGGTCAGCTTGAACGTCTGAGAAGAACGATAAGCGTGTCTCGAGTTGAGAGAAGGGGCCCGGCTTGTTGGATGATGAGCGGTGTCGAGTTCAGGCAATATGCACTCCAAGAGACGAGAGGCACGGCATATATAGTGCATCATCTGGTGCCGGAGAGACGCGTCGACTGAACCGGAAACTCGGCAGTCGATATTGAGCGAACACCCAAAAGGGTAAGTTTGTTGATGACAGAAACCTGAGTCGGACATTGTGCCATCGTGAAAGGCTACGCTGAATCGCTGGCTCAGCAATCTAGGGCCGCCTTCCGATTCTCGGGCACCAATAAGCAGGGCAAACGTGCCATTTCCCCGCGGGCTGTCGCGTTGTCCCTTGCTTCCCTGTGGGCGACGTCTGTCACGAGCGCATAGCGCGCGGCGCCACGATGGGACATATTCATCCGGAGTGCCTGAATAGGATGCCGGGTCTTGGTGTTGTGCTGACGATTATTGATTGGGAGCCACCACATGAGAGCGCGTGGATGCGGTCAAGGGAGGGCACGTGTAGCCCTGAAACGTCGGTAACGAGGCGGCGCCATCGAAGAAGAAAACTGCAGAATCAGGAAATCTCGGGTGGCTTGCACCGAGAAATGTGACGGCGGGTTGGAGCCGGGGTTGCATCGGAGGACCGGGGATGTGGGGTTCCCCTGATTGGTGGGTGAGAGACACTGGACCACCCGGAGGATGTTTATATATTGCCGGTGGCTCCCTCCTTGCGAGTCGCTTTCTCGTTGTAGTAAGTCTTTGTCATGATATTTGTCGGCTGGTTGCATCCATGGGAGCCTGTTAATACTCAGGATGCCGACTTTCTGCGCCTCATGGAGCGGGAGCTTCGCAGACTAGATTTTGGACGAGAGTCTCGAATAAGCAGATTAGTAGTTTCTCAATTTCAAATAGCCTCCAAGATAACACAAGACACGTGATGCCCAACTATCCGTCACGAGTTTCAAATAACTGGCGCTTTTTGCCTAGCTTCGAAGGTGCCGAAGCCAACCCCTGCAGTGCCAAGCCTGTGATGTCGAACCATCCCAGACGCGCCTAGTGAGTTGGGATACTTATATACTGAGGGCCAGCTCTGCAGATAACGTGAAATTCGTGGGCCATTGAAGCCCAAAGTAGATGGCTCGTGGCTGATAGAGCAGTAGCAAGAGGTAAACTGATTCTTGTTGCCCTCACAGAGATACGCAAGCCGCCGCGCCGCCAGCCAAGCAACTGCCTATTCCTCGGAAGGGTAGATTGAACGATGGAGTTTTATATGAGAAATACTCAACTGACCGGAAAGGTTCGAAGAGGCTATTTGAAAACAGGCTACTTCAATGATTCACAATGTTCCATTTCGTCTCGTCGCCGGTGACTGTGAACCCCTGAATATGGTCGTTTCCATGGTTGGCAAACTCCACCCAGATATCTTTGAGCCTGTCACCTAAACCGTCCATAGCGTCTTGAGATGCTTCTCCTCCTAACATTGGTGCAGATTTCCATGACTCCCATGAACCAAGGAGGAACGGTAGCTCGATGCAGTGGGCCGCGCGCAGTGAGCTATGTGAAGGCTGCCACTGGAAGCGGTAGAGTGTTGCCTGACCCTCCGCATCCAAGTATTGCTTGTGGAGGCGATCGGTGAGCCATGTGAACACCTTTCCAGAAACGAACCAAGCTGCAAGTCGCTCGATGAACTGTCCAATCAAAGGCAGATTAATATAAGGACGCAGGGTCTTGTTCATTCGGACGAATGGGACGCCTTCATCATTCGTGTATCCAAGCATGATGGGTATTCGCTGCGCTACCAGGCGGAGCTTCTCAGGTACATCTGTATGGTTGGGTAATGGTCCATGCCCCATAAGCGGACCGAACGGCAACTGTCCCGTAGCAGTGAGAAGAAGCTCAGTCTGTAGAGATAGCATCTCCTGGGAACTCCTTGGCCTGGTATCGGTCGCGAGTCTTTCTTGGGCAAGGCGGCCCAACGACCAAACCACCTCTTCACGGTCTGGCGTCCATATCTCCAGAGGCGCACTTTGTAATATGGCTTTGTGAAATAGGCCATCAGTCCCTTCTGCAAGCATAAGACAGTAGATGGAACCTGCTCCGGCGGATTGTCCAAAGAGCGTGACGTTGTCAGGGTCGCCGCCGAACGCAGCTATATTTTCCTTGATCCAGCGAAGAGCTCCCATTTGGTCCAGCAACCCAAGATTTGCGGGAGCGATATCTGGTATTGGCTGAAACCCGAAGACTCCAAGTCGATAGGAGATGTTGACGCCGACGACACCTCTCTCCACTAGGCCAGTTGGTTGGTAGCAATCCAGGTCTGCGCCACCCGAAACGTAAGCCCCTCCGTGTAGATACGCCATGACCGGCAGCTTCTGTCCGCCCGAAAGCGCATCGACAGTTGTAGTTACTGTCACATGTAGACAGTCTTCGTCTTGGTCGCGCCCTGCTGTGATGGGCCTGGTGACAAAATCCAGCCGGGAAGGCACAGTCTGGGGGCAGATTGGAGATGGACCGGTACAGTCCTTTATGTCGTTCCATTCGCCAACAGGGGTAGGAAGCTGAAAGCGACTTGCGGATGCATATCGAATTCCTCGAGCTCGAATGAGCTGACCACCACACGCAACTGATATTTTACCTCCAGGGAGATCGATAATTTTGTTGTTCATTGATGCGATGATGTTAGCCCTGTCTTCTGACGTGGAACTATCCCGAGGTATGCGGTCCGGTCGCAGCGGCATGGGTAATTCTAGTCTCCGCTATGAAACGTACCTGATTATCAAAGAAATTACCCCGACTTGAAATATCCGGATTCCGTGCTGATTCTGTGCCGCTCAAGCCCCATGCCCAGACTCACACAGCCACATCCATACCTGTTCCGCCTCACCTAGGTATCTATTGGCTTCACTGAGTTACCCGCTTCAACGAGACAGTCATCTCCCATTCAGCTACTTCTCAAAAAAGGCCACCTCTCGAGACGCCCATGTTTCAAATGTAGGACAATTCCATTCCATTCCATCAGCGGCAATGATCAATGGCACAGGAACATGCTTTCTGGGAGGAGGGGGAAAAGCATTTCGAGTGTTATCTTCTGTGAGAGAGAATGTGTATTCATCCTTGTTTGCTTCCGCCCTTTCGACATTCTCTATGATCGAGGAGCTGTCGCATGTTGTAATCAGCGTTTCGATAGGAGTCTTTGGACCATACTGAGCTTCCATCACATTGTGAGTTTTGCTACCTGATTGGGTGGATATTACTAGCTATCTGGGCCGGTAGTAGATATAGACGATAACAGGGACGGCGACGACGACGACCAAGGAGACCAAGATCAAGACGACGCCGGGAATAGGGGTAACAGGGACGATATAGATAGTAATTCTTCAAATGAGTTACATTGCTACCTAGACATATAATATAATATAAGTAGTTATCCGCCTGGTTAGCGAGGAGTCTCCGCCCGGATAGCAAGACTCGATATTGTTGCATATTGTACGGTTACGGCAAGTAAAAGTACCAAGGTCTATCGGTCAGCCTAGGAAGTCCTCAGTCAGCCTGATCGCCATTTTCATTGGGACGCAAACAGTCGATTGATCTTACATGTACCTGCGATGGGCACTGGAGGTATCGAATTGTCTCAAATCGAATGACATTCGTCAATTGTAGCCAATTACATGCTCCGGAATGCATGGCGAAGCGGGGAGTCATTGCGGCTGAGGCCAGACAGGCAAAGCTGGGCTTTAGCAGCTCGTAGCCTCATTCTGACATGCTTCCTATTTCATCTATCCATCGGCATCTGCAAGTTAGACCATTGAAACCCAAGATTTGAACTGATTTCATCTTTATAGACTTTTCATGAACGTCAAACTGCGACTGCACGTCAGATATACCTACAGCCATGGCATCTATCGGGAATGTTCCTAGCAGCTTGTGGGAAAAGGCTTTCCAACTATTGGATTCTGATACACAAAGGGGATTAGGTCCGTCCAAGACGAACAGACGCGATGTCCTGGTTAGTATTGCCCCTGAGCCTCCAAATCAATCATCTGGATCATTCGCTTATTCTCATTTCCATAAACAGAGCGCAGTACTCCAAGAAGTCGAAAAAGCGAGGGACTTGGCCCTACGGAAGAGATGGAAGTTCACGAAGCCCAACGGCGACTTTGTGATCGTTAGAGATGTAATGGAGAAGATCGCAGGATGGGTTCAACGTTTCAAAGAGACCGCCGATGCCGCAATGCAATACGACCCTGCTCATGCTGCATTGCCCTGGGCGGCATTTAGGTTCTTGTTGCAAACCACAGTGTCTGAAGCTCAAGTATTCTCCGCAGTAGTGACAGACCGTAAGTGCTTGGACAAACATAAGCTGGAGGTTATAGAGCTAACCTGCCTCAAGTTGAAGACATTGCTCGAAAGCTAGCGAGGTATCGCATGACCGAGAAGCTCCACGTACGCAGGATACAGTCCGAGATAGACACGGAGGTAGAGCGCGCTTTGGTCCGCCTTTACGCAGAGATTCTTACCCACTTAAGCTACGCTGTGAGGTTCTACAGTGAAAGAACCATCGGTAAGTATTCGTACTTTTCATCATTTCATTGATGAATTTCCACAGTGGCTGGTCTCGAGGCTTGAACTGACATCAGGCTTCGCTAGCCCGGGCGGTTAAGGGTCCCTTCCGCACAGTCAAGGAAGACCGAAAAAAGGAGTTGCAAGATCGAGAGCATGGAGTCAATCAGCTTACCACACTTGCGGACGCGGAAATACTTCGGTCCTTCGATGGGACATTCAAACGATTTTCCATGCAGGCGTCCAGATTGGTGTCCGAAGACTAATTCAACGAAATTGCCTCATGGCTATCCGTCGCACCTTACTACTCTCATCACCAATTCATTGCCGACTCTCGCCTGACAGGTGTCGGCCAATGGTTGCTCAACCACCAGGACTATACCCAGTGGCTCACGTCCAGCTCGTCCTCTCTTTTTTATCTCTATGGGATCCCTGGGTCAGGCAAATCGACTTTGTGCTCTGTGGTCGTGGATACCATGATCTCAGCGGCCGGCAACGACCCATGTGCGTCTCCTTTGGGGTATTTCTACTGCGCGAACCCTGAGTTCGAAAAGGCGCGTCGTTCATGTGACGATGTCTTGAGAACTATACTGTTTCAACTTTCCATTGATTCTTCGAGTCGGACGATGGTGAAGCAGTTTCTCTACTCGGAGTATGAGCGACAACTGGCCCGATCTCCCGCCGGTAGGTTTGATATGGTGAAGCTCCGGACCAAAGACTGTGTGCGACTTATACTGGAACTGGCCGAAGAAGATCCTATCACAATCATCATCGATGGCCTCGATAGTATCGATGATGATGATAAGTATACGCTCATCAAGACTCTCGATGACATAGTCTCCCAGGCCGACAATGTGGTGAAGATCTTCGTCACGAGCAGAAGCTCTAACCAAGCCGCCATGATACCAACGGCCGCCTTCAAAACCCAAATCACTCCTGAGGCCACGAGACAAGACATGGAGGCTTTCGTGAAGCATCAAATTGACGCCGCGCTGGCAGCCAAATTGCTACTCGGGGGAGTTGTACGTTTCGACACACGCAAGGTGTTGGAGGAAGCCCTACTTGAAGGTGCTGGTGAGATGTGAGTTCCTGCCCCAGCGATATTTTGTTAATTGTGTCATCGCCCTGGAAAAGGCTGTGCATAGGAGTGAGGCTGACGAATGCAAGGTTTCTCTGGGTCAAACTCTGCATGGAGCGCAACTGTCGTGAAACGGTTGAGGATGATGTCCTCTCCGCTCTACGCACTAAGCTCCCCGAGAGCATAGACCAGCTTTACCAAAGCTCTCTTGACCGCATATCGAGAGCCGGGAATGAAGTCCGTGGCCTTGCGATGAAGGCCCTGTCTTGGGTACTGCACATGAGAGAACCCCTGACCCCACCGGCCCTTTTGGCAGCGTTGGAATCTGGCCAGGATCCTACCCTGGATGCAGCCCAATTGATGAACATTTGTCACAATTTGGTTGTTCTGGATACCCAGTGTAATGTCATGAGGTTCTCGCACCAGTCAGTGCAAGACTTCCTCAAAGGCCATGAGAGTTTCGCTCCGAGGACAGCCCATAATCTCCTGGCTTCTATCTGCATCGAGGCTTGCTCTCGCGGACCAGTCTCAGAGCACGCCCTAGCAATCCCAAGCGACGACTTCTACGTCTACGCGGCAATGTACTGGCCTGTTCATTCTAAAATGGCCCAGGATTTATGCACAAGCGGACCGTCGCCTGACGACGCAAGTCTCACACAAAACATAATCTCATTTATGTTTGACGAAGACAGGGCAACGACCCTGTCCTTCAAACTTTGGATTGAAACAGTAGGCGACATCGTCGCCTCTCTTCAAAGAAGCCATCAAATACTACCCGCTTTGTCCGCCATTTCCGAGTCCGAGAACGGGTTTCTTTTCGTGTTGAGCACTTTCGGACTCGATGGTGCCCTCATGATGGTTCTGTCGCAGATTGATTCTATTGATACCAATCAACGGAACGACATAGGGTATACACCTCTCCACCTTGCATCTATGTTTGGCCATACTAGTACTGTGATGATCCTGGAGAAATATGGTGCGAAACTCAATGTCGAATGCGGGAAGTTCGGGAGTCCGTTGCATGCGGCATGCTTCAATGGGCATTTACAAGTGGTCGAAAAGCTCCTGGAACTTGGAGTCGACACAACCTGCGGTTCCAATTTCAACACCGCACTACAAGCTGCCTTGCGAGGCGGCCAAGAAGATGTAGCGGTGCATCTTGTGGATCACGGTGTTGCAATCACGAACGAAGAAGCGTATGAGGAAGCAATGCAAGGTGCTGCCTCGGTTGGTTTCGTCAGACTTGTTCATTTACTTGAAAGCTCCAAATTCGACATTCTCAAACGGGAATCCAAAGACAAACTCAGGAAAAGGTTGTTGAAGGCAATCCAGGGCGGTCAGCTCGAAGTTCTTCGGCGATATTTTCGCCGAAACATCGGAACCGACGTTTTAATTCCCCCAGATGCTGTTGCTGTCGCAACTTTATACAATCATAAGGACTTAGTAGAGTTCCTTCTAGATCAGAAGAGGCTGCACTTATCAACGAGACTTGCCCAGGCAGACGTGTCTACATCAAGGCCAACCACCTCGATACGTGTGCTTGTGGACGGCAGAAGTGCCTAGAAGACAACACAGTCGTCGAAGGGTGCACAATCACGACACAAACACGGAATTCTACGATATTCATAAAGCTCAAAAACCTCTACTCGATTACGAGGTAATTATCGGAGAAGGGCACGGTGAATCAGAAACAACGCATTCGAGCAAACAGCAGGCTTCTCAACTGCAAGACCAAGCAGCGAAAATGTCTGGCTCTCTCCAAGCGGCAGCCTTTGCAGGTCATATGAATACGGTCAGACTGCTTTTGGAACACAGGGATACCTTAGGTATATCCAGTCATGAGATCAAGTTGGCTGTGGAGGTAGCGGAGGAGGCTGGCCACCTGTCCATCATTCAACATCTTATTAAAGCCACAAAATCTGAGGAGGAAGTCCGCGACCATATTAGGGGCATGGTCAACAGAGGGCACGCAGCGCATCAAACTGATGTGGTTAACTTCGCACTCGCATTGGCTTCGCAACATCTTTCGCCAGATGAATGTTCCAGGTTGCAAGAAACGACTTGCACAACAGCTGAAACATACAAGACAACAGGCAGGAACGAAGAGAAGCTATACTCAAGTTTCTTTAAAAGCTGCGAAGCGGGAGATTTTCACCTGATGAGTGTCATACTTGAAACAGGAGACCAAGAGTTACTGTCAGTAAGGGACGTCGAGGGCGGCCTCCATTTGTGCGCTCTCCATAGCAACCTCGCCGTCGCTCAAATGCTCCTAGACGAGCCTCTTTTGCAAAAACCAAACTTGGTTTTCGCTGAAGAGGTGTTTGTGACAGCGGCGGCTAGTGGATCGACGGCATTCATGAAGTTGGTTCTTCGCTATTGGCCGCAGCTGCTACTATCTTCTGGGTCGACAGCATTGAGCCACGCGCTGGTGAAATCCAGTGAGAATGGACACATAGATGTTGTTCGCTACTTGGTGCTGGATCTGGACGTTGATGTGAACACAGTTTTGCACGACAAGCGCTTTGATCTGAACTGGATAGACGGTGCAGCCACAGGACTGGAGTTTTTCATGCACCAGATTTCAGGGGGCCCACGTCATCGCGCCATCGGACCTCGGATTGAGGTGAACTACGGGACCGTGATACCTAAGATTTCACCTCTTCAGGCCGTGATTAGAGGGTTGGTCAAATTTGACCCGGAAACAGACTTGGACCGGAATGATCTAGTATCGATGCATCAGAGGCATTCGCCACCACACGCTGAACAGGATCAACAGGAGCAAACTTTGGCCTTTCTTCTCGAAAAGGGCTCTGACCCTAATGATTTTGGCGGCCAAACGGTATACCCGATGCAACTGGTTGCGAAGCACGGTTCTGAATATAGCGTGGATCTCCTTATTTCAGCAGGGGCGGATGTAAACGTGGAAGGCCACGACAAAAACTCTTTTTCCGACCGGTCTCCGCTTGGCAACTCGCATCTGGGCTCGACAAACAACAAAAATGCACTTCTCGCAGCGGCTGGTCGTGAGCTATCGGCCCTATCAATAGTGCGAAAGCTTGTAGCTGCTGGGGCAAACATACCACGTCGCCTTGAAGAACAACACAGTCTTCTAGAACAGGCTCTGCGCCATTTCCACGGAGACAATATTCTCGGAAGCCAAACCTATGGATCGTACCGGTCTACAGACGGTAAATTTATCGTAACGCCGTCCTTGGAGTATCTTTTCACGGAAGGTTGTGCGGGAGTTCTTCTTTTCTTCCTCGCCCAAATGCCACACGTCCGGACAACAAATATCCAATGGGGTCTAGTCCTCCAAATGGCTGCCTTTATCGGAGACATCAAAGCTGTTGATCTTCTCCTGTCCCGAGGGGCAAACGTAAATAGCATTGGGTACTTTTATGGCACGGCTCTACAGGCTGCATCCTCAAGTGGCCACGACAAGGTAGTGCAAAGCCTATTGGATACTGGTGCCAATGTCAACCTCATAGCAGGCCGGTGGGAGACACCTTTGAGAGGCTCTCTTGTTGCCGGTCACGAGCAGAGTGTGAAAATCCTTCTCCAACGCGGAGCCAGGGTTTACAACGAAATCCCATCGTCACAGAACGGCTCGGGAGCACAAAGTTGGAAGGAAGCACAAACTGATCTGCAGTTGGGAGTTGCAACGAAGGATGCGAAGATTGTCAAGCATCCTTTATCGAAAGGGGCAGACCCGATTATTGACCCCCAGGAAGGACAGCATCCTCTTATCATGGCTTCTGGAAATGGAAGTGTGGCCATCGTCCAGGATCTGATTCAGGCCGGGGCGCCGGTGAATATTCACGGGAAGAAAAGAAGGGGTTACAAGCACTTTCAAGCTGAGGATGCGAGTCCGATGCATGCAGCCATTGCAAATGGCTCCTTGGACGTGGTCGAAGTCCTCTTGGAGAATGGCGCAAACATTGACCTCAATATTCAGGAATCAGGCACCCCCCTCACTATCGCAGCCGCGGAAGGTCAAGCTTCGATCATTCGTCACTTACTCATGGTCGGTGCGAAAGACAGCAATAGCCGGGCTTTCAGGAAAGCCATTGAAAATAACCACGTTGAGACTGTGAGGGTACTGCTGGAAGAAGGAGTACAGGTTATGGGCATGCTCTCTGTGGCATGCGAGCGTGGTCACATCGAAATCATTGAGCTGCTTGTTGAAAGCATCACCGACAGAGGCTCTTTGAAGGCCGCTCTTGATGAGGCATTCGCCGTCGAAGGCCTCAAAGATTCTGTAGTAAAAGTCCTTCTTTGCTACGCGGCCCCGACAGCACAACGTTTTCTCAACGTTTGCGCAGTGGGATCGCCATACTCTGTCAAGTCAATGCTGGAGCAGGGTGATATTGACGTCAACACACCAACAGAAGATGGCGGTAATTTGCCGCTCCAAGTCGCAGCGCTGCATTTGAATTCTGAGGCAGTACAAGTCCTTCTTGAAGCCGGAGCTCACACAGAGCGCACCAGTGCAGAACATGGCCCGCCATTGATATCTGCTCTGGAAGCATGCGCCGCTTGGATACTGTGCCGAGAGAAAGATGAGAGACTAAAATCACTGGCATTTGGGACAGGGGCCCTACACTTCACAGTCCAGGTCTTTCCGGTTGAAGTGTGAAGCCATAGTGGAACTTCTGATCGACCACGAGGCAAATATCGCTGATGTGGGACGTCCTCTCGGATCTCCACTACATCTTGCCTGTCTGCTAGGGAGTAGGCCCATGGTCGAGAAGCTCATACAACGTGGGTGCGATCTTGACACTACAGTAGGACACTTCGAAAGGCCTATTTTCTCTGCCATCCGTGGACAGAACGCAGACATTGTTCTGATACTCCTGAAGCATATGCCAACCCCGAACTATATTCACACTGAATATTCTACACCCTTACATTACGCATGCGCAGTGGGTGATGCTGCATCTGTCCGGACGCTGCTGGAGTGCGGTGCAGATGCTGATATTTCCAACCAGCTTGGTCACACACCTCTAACGATTGCGCTTCTAAACCCGATTTCTCAATATGTGCCTGGACGCAGACAAGAAGAAACCTCTTTGGATGCGATTCTCTCCACAGTGCGGTCACTTCGCATTTCCGACCACGACGTTGTTGCCGTAGCTCAGTCTTGGACCTTCAATCCTGAGGAAACTATTCCTCAGCTATTGAATCTTGACAGGAGCACGGTGTTTCATGAACATACCATGTGTCACATGCTCAGTTCCCAGTCTTACGCCGACATACTCGGTTCCCAGTCTTACCCCAACATACTCGGTTCCCAGTCTTACGCCGCTGCGGGTGCAATCAAGCTTCTCATGTCCCGCATGGGTGGGATCGGAGTGACTGACCGAATGCTCAAATGCGTCTCGAGCGAAAAGGCCCTTAAAGCACTGCTCGATTGCACCCCTGGGAGAAAAGTGACAACAGATGTGCTTCTGGCGCAGGAGAATGTCGCATGCATGGAGCTCTTACTTAATTTCGACCGCGCTGCTCCAGCTACCCAAGAGATTCTGCTGCGAGCCTTGGAACTGTACGACTTTAAGGGCGACGCCAAACTTAGTGTCTTGGCAGAGTTATTCAAGCGAAACCCGGAACTCTGCGTCACCCAAAACATGCTGCAAGCAGCAGACTATGCAGCCCTCTTGGAGATACTTCTCAGCCATTTCAGACCTGCGGCCGGAATCTCCGAGGACACTCTGGACAAAATAATCACCTCGACAGATTGGCAGGGGCAAGAAATCCTACGTCTTCTCCTGAAGCACGACCCCAGCATTCTAGTCAGCGACAAGATCGTATTGCAGTCTCTGAAGCACTCCTCTTCGCCAGTTGACGCCCTTGAACTCCTTCTAGACCATCAGCCATCAATTGTTGTAACGCCTGAAATATTCCTACTGGTTTGGAAGAAATCACGCGAAGATTCGAGATTGAAGGTTCCAAAGCTTCTAGAAAAGCACGGAAAACGGGTCATATTCACAGATGAAGTGAGAGCCGCCATTGATCAGGCTCACCAACTAACAAGTGAGGCCTCGAAGAAAGAGCGTGTTTACAGGTTAAGGGCATCGGATGAGGAACAGATGGGCCATCACGGAACTTATCCTGTTCCTTAAGGAAGTAGTCACTCCCCGTCCTCGCACAATGAGTCTGGGCGAAAGTATTTGAAGTGAAAGACAGGTTGCAAGGGCTAGACATTATCGCGGCAAGGTGCTTGGCAACTGTTCCTTATGTTGAATTATGTTCGTCTACACAATAAAACGCTTTTTGGCTTTGAACAACATCGCCGAATCCTGATCAAATCTTTTTTCAGCGTAGAATCCGGTATTCTCATGACCCCATACTTCAAAATGATACAAGAGATGCGGCAGATTTCTCACTAATTTATGTTGTTGAAGGTATTTTCCTTACTTGTGCAAGCTCTAACATAGATATGATCTTAGGCCTACAACCCACAAGGAAATATACCAGACCCAGATTATTGGACCTTGTTTCGATATATAAGGTTACGCTGATAAGGGTATTGTTGTCCAAATATGCAGATGAAGGCTGAGAGCGCAGGAGATCCTGGTCTACCAGTAGTAGGTTTCATCAATCAAAGTCACTGGGATCGGTGCTTTGCCTGCCAGTTCGCTGACAACGCACCGCACTTCGTCAGTCATAGCTGCGGGACCACCCACGACGACGGCCGTATCTCCCTTGGCTTTTGCAATCTCTTCTTCCAGAACATTGCGCAACTTGAACCTCTCGCCTACCAGGATGTCCGTGTCAATACGATCAAGGTCAACGATTTCGACCAGACCAGGACTCCTGCATGACCAGTACACCTTAGCGTGTCCTGGGTAAGCACGTAAAGCTGGTGCTACAGCTGTGATTGCGACACCTCCAACGATGCATATGAGGGTTTGATACTTGGTCAAGTCGGGGTACGGCAGATAGTCTGCCTCGACGAGAACGGGGAGTCGGGTCTTATGGCGAAGCATGCCTGTGGCGCCGTCAAAGGTTCGGATTAAGAAGAAAAGGCCAACATGAGGCGGTTCGTGGATGATGACCACATCGGCGGCTGTGGTGCTGGAAAGCTTGGATGTCGACCCCAGTGACTTCTCGGTTGAGCTTCCCGAGGATGATCGCGGAGGATCCGCAGATCTCACTCTAGTTCCCATGATGGAGAAGGGATGACTTTCCCAGATTCTCCACGTTAGCGTCGGGAAGTATAGATAGGCGTGTCCGTGTCCCTTTGCCCCTTCTATGTCAACTTGGACGTATTCGTCGTCAATGACTGTGATAACGGCTTGCCGCCAGCCATTTCTGGCCATCCTGGCAAGCCTGGCAACGCGGTCGAATCCCCAGACTGCTATGGCGATGTACATCCAAATCTCGTATCCCCATTGATGGTTGAAGCGGTATATAATATGCAGGTAGCAACCTACCACCGAGAAGACAGCAAGTACGATGTGCCAAAAGAAGAACATCTCGTACATCTTGGCACGGAAGGGAATGGCTGACGCTGGGAGTAGCAGGCTCATCGCAAGCGTTGCGATGATGCCCCACACCCAGTAAGCAAGCTTCGATTCGCTATCATGCCATCCTAAGACGACATATATGCGAAGCCATATGATAGAGTGCATGATAGCTTGAAGGGTACACAGGTATGCAGTCCAACGATGCATGACCATGAATGTCGACTGTGTCCAGTCTGTCAACCAGTACAGAAAGTTGTTTCTGCCGGCATACAGAATGAGCAATGGTACGTTCGCAAAGCTGAGAACACCAGTGCGGTTGGCGACAGAGGTAAGGACTTCCTGTAACTGGTTGTCCCACCACCAAGCATTGGGCTGCGCCGACTGGATGTCCACTCCACTGAGTACGAAGTTGAGGACCACGATATACGCGATGAGCATCGCCTGGCCACGGGTGGGCATGATGAACATGTTGAAGTAGGGCGCTTGGTGGCGGCTGCCGAATAAGGGCGGGTCTATAATAGCGGCGCTGACTTTGGCTTTGAAAAGCTTGGGCAATGGTAGGAAGCGAAGCCAAGAGCTTGCAATGGGGACAATGGCGCCCAAGGCGATGAGTACTAATCTGGAATCATGTAAGCAGAGTTTCTCTCGAATTCAACAGACACGGCATACCCATATTTCTCATGGTGGGTTTCCATCCTCTCAAACATTTCCATTGTGTCATACTGCAGCTGATACTGGAAGTCGGCAACCAGAGCTGTCCGATTAAGGGGTTCTCCATATGCCAACGTCGAGGTGACATTACCCTGAACCTGTGCGAGGGCCTGTTGGTACGTCCACTTTGGAACCGGAGGTTTCGCAACAACATGAACTCCAGGTTCATCAAGCCGTCTGTGACTATTCCGGATACTCGCTTCAGTCTTATGCCAATACTTCTCAATCTCCCATGCAGGAAGATCAGTACAACGCTACTACAAGTTAGTACAATTCTCGCTATCGGACTCGCAAAAGACGTGACCCACCGATTGCAGGCAAAGGGCCATAGATGTTAGGAAGGCATCGTCAGTCGCGAAGCACTCAGGGGAGGTTCGAGGCATCGGCAGGCCACCCTCGATACCCATCGTGCTGCAATTCAGTGCGCTGCCGGAGAGCACCACGCGGCACGAGTAGGCGCAGAGGGGCTAAGCGCCGTCAGTTCTGAGTATCACTCTTGAGGTTGAATCATGCTCACTTGGTACATCGTGATACCGTAGCCGATGAGACCGTGGCCTGCTTCCCCCACCTCATCGGCCATGCACACCTGCATATGCATAGCCGCTAGGATAGGTATCAGGAGTTTCCTGAATGACGAAATCATCGCGAAAGCGAGAATATGCTCAGATGATTATGGGGCAAACTCGCTGAGAATGGACTGTGCTGCAAAGACTAAAGACCAGAATGCCCCAAGGTACTTCGAAATGAACACCGACTATGCGAGGCTAACCATTGTTTTACCACAATTCTGGCATGGTGTAGCTGCTCAAGCTCCGAGGTCATCATCTTTCACGCACAGCGGAGACCGACGGAGTTACCACCCTGAGCTCAGACGTGATTGGCCTCTGAGGGGTTTCGCAGCTTTGGCCGACTTGGCAGATTTTCACGGTGAATGGAAGCCGACGCCTTTTCCCGGTCTCAAACATTGACTCGACATGAAAGTTTGACGGTTCCCGATTGACCGGAATCTTCAAAAACAAGTGCCCGGTATTACAAGGCCAACGAAATAACTGCCTCTGACGTCTTGATTGGCCGTACCTGTTTGGCTATGGAATTACCGTTCACCATGCCATCTCCAGGATGATGCAGCTCGGTCGATGGGTTCTTAATCAACATACATGGATGGATGCAAGTCGAGAGTGCTCTCCGTCTGAGAGATTCATAATTGAAAATGAGAAATGTGGCTATGGTTCATTCGCTTAGAATATCGAATCGTTGATTCTTGCATTGCGGTAAAGTACCTACCTTGCGGAATCAGTTTTGTTAGCTGATGTAGTTGTGAGCGACCAACCATGTGCAACACTTCAGCCCTACGAGTCGCATGAGCCAGAAAGATAAGACACGGTCAACATAAATGAATGCAACGCTAGGTGGAATGTCTGCGCATCGATAATGACGTGACTGAGGCTGTATCCTTGGCTGACGCCCAACGGTCTGTTGCCGTCTTCCACGTTCATGGTTAGACGTTGTGGCCCGAGGCGACCAGTCGACAACTTCATTTGAAGATCGTCAAATGAACACAAAACGCTAGCGCAAAGTGGTCTCATGCATTGCGTAGCAAATTCAACATCTCCTGCAAAGTCTGAAGAAGTACAATTGAAGCCAAAATGCTTCTTTTTAATGTTTATTTCCCCCCCTAGAGGCCCTCTGTGCAGATTGGATGCAGGCAATTGCAGAAGTGACCTTGTGGTCATGCATTCTCAAGCTCGGTAAACGAGACTGCTCTGGTCTACTGTACAGATATTTTGGGGACTTTAGTTGGCCTTTTGGTTGCCTCCCCTTTCCTTCTGGTCCTCCTCGGCTCTCTTCTCCTTTTTGACACTCTTCCATTCCACGAGAAGCCCGAATGGGAACGATATGGCAGCCAATATCATAGCCAGCATAAATGTTCTCGTGATGGCGTAGTTTACTCCATTGAGAGCGCTTTGGAAGGCGGGTGTATTGTCTCCAAACATCGTTTGCAGCTTCATGCGCAGGTCTGGAGCACCGCCGTCCCCGTAGACAACACCAGCGAGAGACGGGCCAAGCGCCTTGACGAGCTCTTGTTGGATGACGCTCTGAGCAACCGGAACGGACAACGCAACGCCTAGTAATCTGGTGAAGAGCGTGAGACTTGTGCCCTTGGCAATCTTCTCGCTTGGCAACACAGTCTGGACAGCAACGTTTGCTTGCTCTGCACCAACTCCAACACCCGCGCCAACGAGAATCTGAGCGCCAATCCTATACAGCTCATTAGCCTATTATTTCGGATTTGATCCGTAAACACCACTCGGAAACACTTACACCATTCCGAGAGTAGCATCCGGCTTAATGACCATGTAGAGGGCTGATCCAGCCGTGACCAACATTGAACCAACGATGATAAAGGGATTGTAAAACCCTAGGGCGACGACCATTCCGCCGGCGACGATCGACGCAATGGCAGTGCTGATACACAACGCTATCTGCTTGAAGCCAGATGACTGGGCACTGTCGCCATTGATAGACTGGAACCTGCATAGTGTCAGTAAAACGAATATGCTGGATGCTCAAAGGCAACAAACCAGACGGGAAGGAAGAAGATGAAGACACCGAAAGCTCCGTTTAGGAAGAGCAGGTACAGGTTGGAGCCTGCGACTGACCGCTGCTTCAAAATGCTTAGAGGTACGGTAGCATCATCACCTTGGAAGTATTGTAGGGCCATCCAAGGCAGGATAGTCACCGCGAAAACCACCAAGACGGCGATGACACGACCATCGCTCCAAGCGTACTCACCTCCGCCCCACTGCAAGGCCAGCATGAGGCAGACCAGAGATGTCAGGAGTAAGCCAGTCCCCAGCGGATCGAACTTCATGATTATCTCTTTCCATGTCATGTCCTTCAGAGTTGCAGATGTTCGTCCCAAGGAATCAGGCAGACAGAAGATGATTGTCGGAATCACCACCGCACCGATGGGAAGGTTGACTAAGAACGTTAGCAATGTGTTTCTGAAGGTAAGTTGTTGATGTTTGAAACTCACACCAGAAGCACCATCTCCAAGAGGCTCCAGTAGTCATTGCACCGCCTGGCAGACAGCAAGTTAGCATGGGATAATATCGAGCCACCAAGAAAGGAAGACGCATACCCATAATTGGACCAATAACACTTGCAATGGCATATGCTGCCCCGAAGAGACCAGCGAACAAGCTCCGCTTCCTGAGCGGAGTTACGCGGGCCAGGACGATGAACGAGCCCCCGAAGACGCCAGCCATACCCACGCCCTGGATGACTCTTCCGATGATCAGAACGACGGACACAGGCGCGAACCCACAGATAGCGCTGCCGGCAAGATAGATAATGACAGATACCAGAAATGTCCACTTGTTGTTTGCCAATGTGTATGCCCGGCCGAAAGGAAGTTGCATCGCTACGGCGGTGATCTGCTCGCCCGTGCTGTACCATGCGATGTCATCGAAACTGTTGAACGCGCTCGTAATGGTCGGGATTGCCGTAGCGAGGACAGTTTGACTGACGGCAACGATAAAGACAGAAATGAATAAGGAGAAGATGATGAGTGCAAACTGAAGCCCAGATGGATATTGTGACTCGTCAAGATCCTCTCCCCAGCCACCAGGACCGGCTTCTGTTTCCGAGGCATCTTTGTCGGCCTTGTCGATAGTTCCAACCTGTTCCGAAGAGGATACGCCATTTTCGTATGGTAATGCCACGGAAGAGGCCTCTTTCGAGCGATCGTGCAACTCATACGAGCCAGATGACTTTGTAGAACGAGGCATGGCTGGATACTGCGGACAACGATGATCGAGACTAGAAGAATGAATGTGATTGGTCTGCAATAATCAACGAATCAAAGAGCAATACTTATCTCATGGACATGGAAGAGTACCTTTTAGAGAAGGCCTCCAGATTTAACTGACTGCTGTCAAAACTGCATGACACGTACATCATCGATCTGTGGGCGGAAGATCCGATCGATCTCGGAAGCATGCACGGGAGGAGCTGCGGCTACCATTTCGCGACGGTTGCCGGACAGTGTTTGCGTTACTGGAGAAACACTGTACGCGGCCATTGGCTATCGTCGAATGGTCTGCCTCAAAAAGTTAAGGATGGAGGGTTTGATGCCCAATAATGTTCAGATGCAGACGTTCAGACGGATTAAGTGGTGGCAGCTTTTCCTGTTGATCTAGTAAAATCCTGCTTACCTGCTCAATGGATCATCAGCGGTTCATCAGCGATGCAGATAAATCTGTCATATGTCAAAGGCTTAAGAATTGTGATGTTCAACTCAGGTCAAATATTGCTCTATCATAGCTACAACAATGCAGGCAAGACGTCTTCTAATCTGTCGAAGAATCTGACAATGATTACTCAAATTTTGTCAAAATGGAAGTTCATGGTGTCGTGAATTTGGAGAAGAGTATTTCTGTTGTCGATCTAAGAGCTACAAACTCAACACCACAATCTACTGGTCGTCTTCCAACCCAACCATTTTCAGAGAATCGATCCAAAGCTTTTTCTCGCCTGCCTCGTCAAATGCCCAGGACTTGAAACCGTAACCTGCCCAATGCAGATCATCCGGGATAGGCTTGCTCACACCGCAGTCCTCCATATAGATTCCTCCGACACCATCAAACTCTTTGCCGACAGCTGCAAGTGTATTCGTTGCCGCGCCTTGCTCGACGCTCTTCCAAATTTTCTTGATGTGTGGCATTTGGATCATCTTGTTCAGCATCACCTTACTGTGCTCTTCAGAAGAGTCCATAAGCCCACTGGTAAACCCGCCCGGCTGAATGCTAATTGCATGCAGACCCTTGGAACCATAGCGCCGCTCCAGCTCGTTGCAGAACCAGATCTTGGCTGTGTTGGAGTGGGCATAGGACACACCGGGCTCATAGCCGTTGCCGTTGGGGTTGGCGGTGTCGTAGTTGTTCTCGGGGAGCACCGTCGACGCTGTGTGCGAAGTGCTAGCCGTCGAAACGATACGTACGTTCACACCGTGGGTTGCTGCGGTGCTCAGAAGTAGCGGCTTGACAAGCTGGAACAGGTAGAAATGTGCCACGTGGTTGACACCGAATTGCTGTTCAAAGCCTTCTTTCGTGAACCCGTGAGGCGTCGCCGCGATACCTGATGGCATCGGCATATGTTAGTGATGATGTTCGGAAGCCTCGAGTTCTTATGGCGCCGAAGAAATACATACCCGCATTGTTCATGAGGACGTCAAGTCTGTCGGTTTTGCTCAAGACAAACTCGGCACCAGCCTTCACACTTTCTAAGCTCTTGAGTTCCATCTCGACAACCTCAAGATTAAAGAGAGCGTCCTCGCTCTGAAGCTTCTCCTTCACCTTCTGGCCTTTGACAGGATCGCGGGCCGTAAAGAAGACTCGCATGCCCGTCTTTGCCAAGGTGCGTACAAGCTCAAGACCAATGCCGTTGGTCCCTCCAGTTACCAATGCTACCTTGTGGCTTAGCTTGCCGACGAGGCCCTCATCTTGGATGATTTGGAAGGCCGTGGGGCGCGCATCGCCAGCGCCCTGAGGATTGGCATGAGCAGACGCATACCGGTTGGCAATTTGCGGAAGGTTAGGAGCGTAGTGCATGGTGACGATTGTGTATTGAAGATGGCTGTGAACAAAAATATTGCCGCCTGATGAGACAAAGCTTGAAAGCCAAAAAGTTTCAAAAAGGCAGGTTGATGTTTAGATATTGGCGTCTCGACTTGGACGGCATTGTACTGAAGTCCGAATCCAAGCATGATTTTAACGTTTACAGACATTAGCAGGAGATTGTAAGGGACACCGGGGAATGCGATGGGAATAGCATTTCCCTTGCGAAAGCGCACATCGAGATCTGGAGGCTACGAAATCGTGATCTTTCATCACGGACAACGATTGGTACAGTCAGTCTGCAGTCAATGGTGCTGTGCAATAGGTAAATCGGGGTCATTTGAGCATAAAGTATTAATTACAGTTTGCTCCAGTTCCGATTCACAGCTTGTTCAGAGCACTGAGCACCGGCAAACACGCCAAATTGCTCGGTGACTAGCGACCAGGGCGCCCAAGGTTTACCCAGCTGATGGAAAGTTCCAGACGTCTGCTCGCTGTTCTACTGACTCGGGACGGTGAGGACGGCGACAGCGAGGGCCGGCTTCTGCTGGGAGCAAACCACCAGGGGTCTCTAGCTCTAACCAACAGTCTGATTCCGCTGTCCAGCGCTCACCATAGCTTCTGCGGCCGTACTGTCCATGCTTTGCGCGGCAACCGGCGAAAGTTCACCGTGGCACAAGACACACCCAGAAGCCCTGATGTCTGCCCGAACACTTTTACCGGCCTCCTGTAGATGAGCCGCTTCCACGCACTTGTTGGTCGCTTTCAAAGGATCTCTACCGACACTAACATTATGAACGTTAATAAGCCACAATCAATAAAGTAAATAGGTGTAGGATGAGCCGATACTGAAGATTTGCCGCTTATGAACCATCATCCCGCGGTGGTACAGCAGGGCAGCAGAGGCTGACACGTTGGGTGCCTCGCGGTAAAAGAGACCACAATCACCGACGAATGTCTTCGGTTTTAGTTCCATATATTGAAACTTCATCATCATCATTCCCAGCCCTTAATCCTGTGCCGCAATCTTGTGTCCTAGCTCTCTGGTCTACTTTCCCTATCACCCTCACATACATAGTTCCAAAAACCAACGATGCCACACGTCACGAAAACCCCCGATTCTGTGCAGGCCTACGTCAACTGTCACCTGCCACCAGCCAAGGGTGAAAAGTATCCAGTCCAATACATAGCTACAGTAGGCTTCCAGAGAGCGAGGTATGACAAGCAACTCGTCAACGTGACCGACAGTCGTACGTGTGAAGATGACTTCAAGCTTGACACCCACGGCTTTCAGTGGGTTGAGAGCACGATCCAAGAGAAGCAGTGGGACGGCGACTATCGATTTGGACTGCCCCCTCAACTGCAGAAAGATGTCCAAGATCTTCTGAAGCGACAGTAAGTACAGCGCCCCAACGTACCTTCAGCAAAGTCTTTGCTAAGGCCCAATGCAGCACGGGAGCGACATACGTCCATCCCTTCGCTCCTCATGTGATTCGCCGTGACAGTCACCAGAAGATTGTCAACATTGAGGATGATGTCCCGGACGATGCAATGCTGAACATGCAACCGCCTGCAATGTTTGTCCACGTCGGTAAGCACACCATGTGCCAATTAGAGAAGATCTCAATTAACAGAGTCTAGACCAATCCTATGACGGGGCTCAAATCATTCTCGATAGACTTCCTGAAGCAGAGATGCTTCGCGCCAAGACAGGCAACCGTTGGGGCATTATCAATGTGTGGCAGCCTCTCAAGCCCGTGAACCGCGAGCCTCTCGCCGTCTGCGATGCCCGCAGTGTTGACGAGTCTGATCTTGTTCCCGTCACTACCCGCATTGTAATTGGAAAACCCCCCAATACCATGAACAAGGACAATGAGCAGTGGCATATGAAGGCAAGTCCGAAACATAAATGGTACTATGCTAGCAATATGACAACGGACGAGGCGCTTTTGATCAAGTGTTTCGACTCAAAGTTGGACGGGAGGGCGAGGCGCACGCCGCACACCGCGATTCAAACTCCGAACGACTTCGGTCCACCTCGTGAGAGCATTGAGATCCGGTGTCTCGTTTTCTGGGAGGACCAGGAAAAGGAATAGGTTATTCAAGACGAGTTAGACCTCAGAAATATGAAACAGAATGATACTGAGCCCTACTTCATTTCCTGAGAGATCCCTGAAACGTGAATAACTTCCATTAGTGGGTGATGCTAAACTGCGTGGCCTGAAGCTCATGACGAAGATGAGCTTGTGTTGCCATCCCGTGAAATCGGCAGCATAACGGAGAATCTCTGCAGAGCAAACAAGATTCTCACATATGATAATATTCACACAACAACAAGAGACGAGCGAGTTTTCCCCAGCCACATGCATCGCCAACATCCATACACAGTGAGTGTATGAACACCACAGACCACCTCATAAGGCAACTTCACTTACACCACTCCTAAACGAAGAACAATGTCGCAGACCCAACCACGTAGCCTGTGGATTTCGCCGACACTTTGACTTGACCCAAGTCAATGACCACGGACACGAAAGTGGAGTAATTATATGAGACGCTTCTGATGGCGATGCATGTATTTTTGACCAGACTATGTCATTTTGTTTCCTACCATGCCTGCACAGGTGTGCCGTATACCGCCATGTTGCAGACCTTGCCAACATCCGCGTCCCTCTTGCCCTCAACAACATCGACGAGCGCCTTGCCACCACCAGCGGGATCGCCAGCACCCATTTTCCTCATTGACTCCGGGTTGCCCTCTCCAATATCCGTCGCAAAGAAACCAGGAGCAACACACCAGACCTTAACCCCATCATTCGTCAACATCCTCACCCACTCAAGCATGACCATGTTCAACCCAGCCTTCGCAGCTCTGTAGGAGATGGTGCCAACCGGCTTGGGCGCACCAGCTGGGGGCACCTTGTACGTGAAATGGGACGAGTCCGCAGCGTTGGCCAAGGACGACACACCGCTGGTGTTGAAGATGAGTCTGGGGTCAGAAGACTTCAGCAATAGCGGCAGGAAAGTCGTCGTAATGACATGAGGTCCAGTGACGTTGATGTCCCATGACTTGTTGTAAGCCTCCCGAGCAGTCATGTTCCCGCGCTCGATTTGCTGGTCAAGCATCACACCTAACCAGCGCAGATAGTTCAGCCAAAGTTCAACGCGTAATGAGTTGGAGGATATGTGACTTACCAGCGTTGTTGATGAGCACATCAACTCTGTCGCATTTGCTCTCGACAGTTTCATATGCCTTCTGGATGGACTCATCGCTCTCGACATCGAGCTGCAGAGGCTCGACAGTGCTGAGGGAGGAAACCTCCTTGCGCGCTGTGTCGGCAGCCTCCTGTCCCTTGGCGAAGTCGCGACTTCCCAAGAAGATGTGGTACTTCTTCTCAGAGCCGAGAAGCGTCTTCACAGCTTGGTAGCCTAGGCCCTTGTTGGCGCCTGTGATGACGACGACCTTGTGATCAGCGATGGCGGGCATTTTTGGAGACAATTGGGGGTATCGTAAGATGTAGGTTCTTTGGGTGTGGAATCTCCAAGAGAGGCTAGGGAGCTTGCGAAGAGAAGATGATGAAAAAAGCATCTTGGGAACCATGTTCTGACGACGATCTTTGGCCTAACCTATATAGGAGTCTTTGCTTTGGTCTTCTGTCGTGTTCATCGGTAATGCCTGGCCGGCGAACCCTGGGCTGCGATACAAGCTGAGTCCGCGAAGCACGCTGAAGGCAGCCGGGGCTTGTTGGACAGAAAAGTTTCAATGGCGACGAAACGTTGTGCACTGTCCAGTGTCCCTCAAGGAGGCCGACAGGCCGGTAAACAGCAAACTTTAGCGGAAACACATCCCCGATACCACTACCAAGAGCTTGATGAAAACCACCCAGCGGCTCATCCCGCCTACCGGAATATTGTTCTCGATCAAAGTACTTATCGCAGGCATTGTCTGTCTTTCATACGCGAGGGCCGCGTGTAAACCTACCATTTCGGATAGACATTCTGCCGTCGTGGACGTTCTTGATTCAATCAACCAAATCGCCAGAATGGGCTCCAATGAACAACCCAACCGCCTGCTGGCGTACAACATTTACGTCTACAGGAAGCCAGACATGGATGAGCAAAGCCATCACCAGCACCTAGAGCACGTCAACAGCCCAATCATTACTTCTCTTCTCAAGAAGTACGGCGCAGTCTCCTACAGTGTGGTATGGTGCCGTTTACAGACGTGATCCCGGTTTCCACAAACTGACCAGCTACGGCCTAGACACACAACGACTCTACTTCCAAAGCGGCCTTCAAGCGCTTGTTTTCTGACGCGCCAGAAGCGATGTTACTAGACTACGACAGCGTAATCTCTATGATTGTCCCGAACATCGAGTGCATTGAGAAAATGCGCGAAGACCCCGATTTCATGCAAAAGTTCATTCCGGATCACTTCAACTTTGCTGACATGAGCCGAAGCAGGTAGGAGGTTCCTGCGTGGATGGCAGTGTCCTTGAGCTGACTGGTTTGTGCACAGGTGTATTGTTGGTTGGGTGGAAAACTACAACTTCCAGAAAGGGGTGTGATGTGCTTTTAGTCGCCCCGTAGACTATTTGAATAAAATTTAGATAAGCTTGCTCAAATCCTATTTGCATCCCCATCCCGTTCATGTGTCGTTCGACGAGTATCGAATTTGATGTAAAGACGATCTGGTGTTCTGCCGATGACGGCAAACATAGCGCCCTAGGCACGTCCCAGGCGCTAGAGCACTGCTGTTCGCCTAAAAGCCCAGATGCTTCGGCTTCACGAAGCCCGGTCAAGACCAAGACATCTTGACGACTCTGTGGCCATCGTCCGGGGTTGGCTTCAGTTGGGAGGAAAATCAAAGTTCCTAAGTCTACGATCCATGGTAAATGACGGGGAGCTATGATGTGATTGATGCCAGACTTCAACACGGGTCGGCTTCTTTGGGGGACTCAGCACTCCGCTCAAGTGTCCTCCTCATCCCTGTTCTGAAGCTCACTTGCACTGCTTCGGCATTCAGTCACCGACCGAACTTGTCGAATAGCCATACAGCTGCTACACCGGAGAACACCAGCGGACAAGGTTCAACGCCAGCGACAAGCAAATCGAGGCATCCGCGGCCTGAGCATGATAATAAAAGAGTCTTTCTTCACCAACCGAATCCTGTCCCTATCGTCAATCATCAACAACCGCAAGGTTCTGCGACGTAGTTTTACCATTTGAAATTACTCAGTCCTAGCTCTCTGTTTCCAGCGGCCCAGCGCCCCCAACCAGACCACAATGCCTACCCTTGAGCTGAACTATGCCACGAAGGACGAGCTTGCCTTCCTGGACACCGATATCCAAAGAAAGCTCACAGTCTCCGGCGACACCGTCGAGTACAAAGCCACTACAGAAGTCGACAAGGAAAAGGAGGCTGAAGAGCGCGCCAAGCTCGATGCCATTGACAACCACAACGTGTCTGCTTACACCGTGACGCTCAACTACCGCCTCGACCCCAGAAAGGGCGGAGACGAGATGATTTGGGGCGGCACCTTCGCGCAGATGCGACGCAAGTACGACCCCCGCGAGGTCGTTATCCAAAACGCCAGAGGAAAGGAGAGCGAGTTCAGTCTTGATAAGACTGGATTCCAGTTCGAACATTTTCCTACTTCGTACAAAGACTTTCCCTGGAGCCCGATCGACGAGCACCTCAACAAGGTGTACAATGCGGAGTGCGAGGAGTTTATGAGGAAGATGTAAGTCGACCCCAGCGAATTTTCCTCAGTGTAGTGTCGCTAATCTTTCGACAGCACCGGAGCCTCCGACGTTCGCTTGATCTCCCACATCATCCGTCAGCGTCAATGGGAAAAGACGGATCCCGAAGAAGAGGCCAAGAAGCCCGACATGGCCATGACTGATGGAGGTCTTCTGTCCGCAAGATTTGTGCACATTGATCAGTCTGACCTCGGCGCTATCCGCCGCCTGTACGACGACATGCCCCCTGGTGAGGGCGCCAAGCACGATGGCAAGCACCGCTGGGCCATCATCAACCTCTGGAGACCCTGGGAGCAGGTCCACCGCGAGCCCCTGGCGCTCTGCGATGCCAAGTCAGTGCGGGACGACGAGCTGCACGACACGATGCACTGCGTTCCTTTCCAGTGGCCGCGAAAGCCCACAGAGAACCACATGTGGCAGATTGCCCCGCCTGAGAGCTCAACTCAGCACAAGTGGTGGTTCAGGAGCGGCATGACCAGAGACGATGTCATCTTGATCAAGATCTTTGATTCGAAGAAGGACGGAAGAGCTCGCCGTACGCCGCATAGCGCTTTCCCAACCCCTGACGACATTGGCCCTGCTCGTCGCAGTATCGAGACCAGGTTTTTCGTCTTCTGGGAAGACGAGAGCTGCGAATAAGTGCACGAACATGGACAGGGTCTGGTGAGGTTGGAACATGTTGCATACATAGCTTAGGTAGATCCAAATTGAGCAAATGGTACAGATCAATCATTTATTTCCCATGTGAAGTTCCTTTTGTATTTCCTCCGTGGTTCGGCTTGTTGTGTTCCTGCGGTATGTATCCTCAGTTCCACGCAGGTTAGGGTTCCAGTCTTGCAATGAGATAGGTCTTAGGGACAGAGTTCTGTTGATACGACGGGCTATTCTCTTATCTACTTCATACGAATGATTTAGGACCATAGCTAATTTCAGTCTGTTTTTGTACGTGAGACAAGCAACTGTTGAGCTTGTCGCTCACAGGTAGTCATGACAAGAGTGAGAGGTTGGCAGATGGTCCAGTTGCTTGTGAATGCGTACCTATCTGAGGAATAACTACGCTGGGAGGGAACCAAACATGAACGAGAAGACTTCATCGCTCAAGAAACCAGGTCCTAATTGGAGTTGATTCAAATGTGTTCAATGTATAGCTATTCCCTTGCTTATGGACTTACGATACCCATTCTAAAATGTCCAAAATGCTCGTGTGTTTATAGGCCTAGCCCCCCTGAACACCCCCTAAATAATCCCACGCAGGTAACTAAGAGGGCGCCCACTTGCTCCTGGAACGGATCTCCTCCCCATACTTGAAGAACAGAAACGGAATAGGCGCCAGAACAACACCGAAGAGGCCCAAAAATGACGTCGCGCGAGCGACTCCGATTGAGCTGTAAAGAGAGGACCTGCAATATGTCAACCTATGTTAATGCTATCAAGACTCGGGTGAGAAGGGAACTTACGCGAAGACCGGAAAGCCGGACGCGAACAGCGACCGCATGAAAGTGTTGGCTGAGATTGCAGAGTTCGAGAATGGTCCGTAGCAGTCCACAATGTAGTTCATTCCTTGCATGTTGATGAGAATGATGCCCATGCCAATTGGCACACCTGCAATGATCTGTTGCGTTGCGCTAGTCTCCGGCGAGCTTGTCGCGGCGAACCAGAACATTCCGACCGGCAGGCAGACGGAGCCAAGCATCATGAGGAGGAGCCTATTCTCCTGCGGCCTGCCAGCCTTGGGATCTGGGGACAGGTTGGTATTGACCGTGAGGATGATGAGAGCACCCCCGATGACGGTTCCAAGCAGGATGGAAAGAAGGGGAAGGCCCGCCGAGGTAGAGTCCCAGTGCCGTTCATTGGCGAACGACATGGGGTATGCAAGGAAGAAAATGTACATCAGGCCTATCAATGCATGGTTAGCCAGAGCAACGAACAGCAAATAGCAGCTGATAACCTACCAAAAACCACGGAGATGTAGGTGGACATCAGAAGAAGAATGGGCTCCAAGACAAGCATCTTCGCCGGTCGAGAAAGACTACTCTCTACAACATCCTTGAGGTTTCGGTCCTGTTCCTCAGATCTTGCCCTGAGCGCCCAGTTGCGTGTCATATGACGCATGCGACTTGCCCTCTTTGCCAAGAGAACCGGCGAATAGGTCTCACTCAAGAGGGGATACGTGATCGCCGCAATGGCAAGAGTAACTATGGCGGTGAAGTTGAATATCCAGCGCCAGCCTAAGGAGCTCTGGACGATGACAGAACCAGTCATTGGTCCAATCACCGGTCCAATCATGAGGAAGGTTCCAGTGCACGGCATCGCGAAACCTCTCTGCTTTGGTGTCCAGATGTCGGCCAGAGTGCCGCTCAAGATCGCAGAAGGTGCTGCACCAAAGACTCCCTGGAGAAAGCGAGACACGAAGATGGCGAAGAGACTCTGAGCATTGGCTGCCGGGAGCTGGAGTAGAGCAAAGGAGACGTAGCCAATAACCAGGGGACCCTTTCGCCCATACCGCTCAGATAGTGGCCTGGCCTCTGTTCAGTACTGACGGGAGAGTCAGAGCATAAGGACATTACTCACCCAAAGATGATGGGACCAACAGCAAACCCGAGCATGAACAGCGATGTGCCGCCAAACACCATAGTCTGAACGGTGGTCTCGAATTCCATTGCGGTCACTGCCGACGCAGCGCTGAAGACAGATGACGAGAAGGTTGTCGACAACACATACAGGGCAAGGACCCAGGTGATGAGCCACTTTCGCGGTTTGGGAAGATTTTGGGCATTGCCTTTGTCGTCGGGGCCATTCCAGTCCACGATGAAATCATCTCCTTGGATCTTCTCGAAGAGGCGAGTTTCAAACTCGACTTCCTCTTCGAGAGTGACCACATCTTCAGGAACAGGCTGTTGGGTTGACGTCATCTTGACTTCAATCAAAAATAATCCTGTATAATCAAGCAAAGGCACATAGGAACATTCTGCAGAGTAAAATGAATTCGCCCTGCTCACAGTGAAAGGCGGCTTAAGTCAACCTAGAGCAGGGCCTGGTGCATGCGATGCGTCAGATGCGGCATCAGTCAGAAGTAATCGGAGACTGCCTTCTGTCTTCGTCGCCGACGCGGCACTTCTTCAAATTTACTCTCTAGGGAAAAGTCTCGTTGACGGCTATGCTTGATGGCGCCCTTGCTAAAGGCTTATTACGGTTCACCGCTGGACGAGGATCAGGATGGGCTACATCGATGTCTCTACTGCACTCGGGTCCCCGAGCTCACCTTCCTTAAAGCCATCCCTGCTCAGATTTGTGTTGCCTATTGCTGCTAGCCGCAAGTCACAGACTCCTTCAATTCTCTTCAAGAGCCTTCACATCACAGATTTCGGCGAATGATTACCGTCATCTTGGGAAGCCTTTCATCCCGTCGTGAGTGGCCAAGAGATTGCCGAGTATCGGAGTAGGTAAGCAGTTGGGCAGGAAAGTCTCGGAGACTGGTTGCCGAGCGACAAATGCTTTCGCCGTGATCCAAATCTTAGCAAGCCTTCGGCAAGAACCTTATTCCTCCTGTTGCTAAGCTGACGGATCTTTCAAAGTTGGCAAACGGATGAAGATCGCGTGATTGGTCACTCCTCAAGATGGGCGCCTGAAAGGGGCATCATCTCATCTTTCAGCCAATAGGATTCCACAGGTATCCGAGTAGCGGATTCCAAATCTAGATGTCGAAGCACCGAAGTCTCCAAACATGTCTGCAATAACTGCTGTCTCTTGTATCACTGACAGGTGGTTCCCCTCACACAGGCTAGTCTCTATCACGGCTGGCGGGATTCCGTGCATGTGAGAGAATCTCAGCATCAGGGACACCTTCTGGGAAAAAAGTACTGGAATAGACAAACAATATGAATGCAGCCGCTGAAGTCAACGGACACCTGTGGTCATATGCTAGTCAACTCAAGTAAATATTGCCTGAGATTAAAGGGAATTTTGAGTGTTCTGTATTGCTCTGGATTTAATTGTTGCCTAAACTGGCACATAGTAATACACAACAGAAGACCTAAACTGTGTTTCCCGAACTACACCTTCCTTCGTGATGCAACCGCCAAAGTCTCGTTGATACGAGGAAGTCTTCCACCGAACGACCTTTTGGATAACGAGAGCACCAAGTATGAACAGCAAAGCCGCCCCAAAAATGACTTCTGTCGTGTTCTTCCAAGGATACTCATACCATCGCAAGGATGCCACATACTGCCACAGACCATCGCTTTTGACATTCAAGTCAGAGCCTATTGAACAAGTCAGTTAGATCGTCTAGATTTTCTTTCACCTCAGACATATACTTTGATTTACTAGAAGCACGTTGTCCAACACCTGTGAAACCCCGCCGTAGATGAGCACGTCCTGCTTCAGAACTTGCGCATGGTTGACAAAGAGGCGGTCCACGGAGTCACGGCTTAACTTGAGCTTAAGCCCGCTCACTGCTGTGACCTCCTCGCTGCCCGCTCTGAAGTTCGTGTGGTACAAAACACGGTTCGGGATTACGTGGTTGTTGATGGTAGTCCGGAGGTCCGCTGGGCCGAGAGATTCAAGATGAAATTTGTATTTCTCCATCGCTTCATTGCTTGGCAACATAATCGTCGTGTCTCGGAAGGATTCCAAAAGCTCGCTCATTTGAGCCTTTTGGACGAGGCTCCAGAACTTTTCAAGATTTCCCAAGTTTGTCGTTTCTGACAGATTGTGCGGAAGGACGAGGTTCTCGCTGATGGTGTGCAAGACGCCTGAGTCGTAGTAGATGTCCGCTTCGACGATGGGCAAAACCTTCTGGATCCCGCATTCTACCCGAAATGGGTTTTCATTATCGGCAGCCGTCAGCTTGACCACGGCACCGTCCGAAACGTTTGTGAAAATAGGCGGACGGAGAACGGAATGAATCAGCTGCGTCTCCATTCCCAACAGGGGATTCGTTGAAGTGTAAAAACCATCTAGGAAATGATACTTCATGATCCCTCTTGCAAGCTCTGGATCTATCGAGCTGAGGTTCATCCCCCAGTTCGCGAGGTATTCGAAAGCATCGTCATTCATCGCCAAAAGTGTCGAGTTCTTAGCCGCTTCGAATGTGCTCATCAGGTTCAGCTCCATGAGGAGGTCGTGAAGCATGGTAAGTGACCCGTGACTAGCGAGGACATGTTTCAGCGACTCCCCGGCTACCAAGCAGGGGACGATGGCGAGAGCTGAAAGAATTCGTGAATGCATTGATGACGTAACCCGCAGCGAACAACGAAAGATACTGCGAAAGATGTGGCATCTGAATACTGATATTGGAAGAAATTGAATATCTACCTGTAATAAGAGGTGTCTTGCCAGGTCGATCAGGGCTGTCTGGCCATTGTTACGATTAAGCTCGTGGGGAAGATAGGGTGTGGGCAGATTGCCCGAACGCACTGATCGGTGTTTGATTGCCGCCGTCACTACTGTCACGGCGCCCCAAAGTCTCGCAGAGCTCGCCCCTTAACCACTCTAATCCCTAAGATGAGCGTGCACCTGGGAGCTTATTCCAAATTCCATCCCTTCATCGCCTGAACCACCAACTCTCCACGTGGCGAGCTAGTCTTGCTCGATGATTTCTGGAGCTTTGTTTCTGAGACCCGTCAATCATGCAGCTTATGACCCTTCTTTCGTGCGCTTTGCGCATATGGTCTCCTACCTGGTGCCAACGACCACACCTCCTCCAGTTAGACGATGCGAAAGAACCATCGCCGGCCCGGCAGCCTGTCCGCTTCGAATTACATATCACCTCTGGGAAGGTGGACGTCATCGGTGCGGGCACAAGAGATGCCATTCTTGTCAATGGGACGTTCGTAGGTCCCACACTGCGGCTTGAGCAAGGCGATGAAGTCGAGTTCTTGGTTCGGAACTATTTGCGGGAAGACACGACGATGCATTTCCATGGCATCGCGCAACGGACGACGCCTTGGAGTGATGGCGTTCCGGGGCTTACACAACGCCAAATCCACCCTGGGGCCTCTTATCTCTACCGATGGGCGGCAGAGGAGGCCGGGACCTTCTTCTACCACGCCCACTCCAAAGGCCAGCTGATGGACGGTCTATATGGCGCAATCGTCATAGATGCATCGCTAAAGGTCAAGAGACCGTTCCATCTCATTAGCCGTGATGCATCTGAGGAACAAGCCATGCTTGCGGCTGAGTTGCGGAACCAGCCACTGCTCCTAGCCGACTGGAGCCAGTACAAGTTTGACGACTTTTACCACATTGAAACAACGGCAAACTTTGACTTGGCTTGCACGGATGCAATCATTGTCAATGGAATGGGATCTCAATACTGCCTAGACCCAATCACGTTGGACAACATGACCAATCCCATCATCCTCAAGATGCTGAAAGACCTTGGCGAGGATCACATGACGGCAAAGGGCTGTGTGCCACCAATTCAGGCGCTGCAGGGAGACTACGATGTAGATGTTGGGAAGCTTCCGCCGCATGCTGTGAGAGAGTGCATTGGGGGAAGAAACCCCAAGGGCAACTTCACTTTCAGTGTCGATGAGAAAAGGGGCTGGGTGGCACTGACTTTCGTCAATGTTGGCGGCCTCTACCCATTACAAGTCTCTGTCGACAACCATGAGCTTCACGTCTATGCCGTTGACGGGCAGTACATTCACCCCGTGGTTACTGATCGCGTGTACGTCGGCAACGGAAATCGAGTGTCAGTGCTGGTAAAACTTGACCAGGAGCCTGCGCGGTACACTATCCGAATGGCCAATGACCTTCTCAACCAAATCCTCGGGGGCTTCGCAGAGATGGCGTATGGCGACGCTGCTCACCCACCGCGTCACCAAAAGCCAAAGATGAACTACGCGGGCCAGCCTCTCATTGACCCAATCCGCTCATTCAAGCCAGAAGAAGGCCAGCCGTATCCTGAACGGCGACCGGCCAGACGACCTGACCGGACAGTCAAGCTGGTGTTGAGAAAGCCTGGTCGCCCTCACGGTGCGTACGAGTGGAGCCTCTCTGGGCATGAGCTGTACAACATGACGGCTGAAGGACTGGACCCGCCAATGCTTTTTCAGGGACCTACCAAAGCACCTGCCAGCGAGCTGGTGGTCTTCTCAGAAGTTGGTGATTGGGTAGACATGATCTTGGAGACTGAGGGCCCTTTTGCTCAAAGTCACCCAATTCACAAGCATGGGAATAAGGTGTACTTCCTCGGTTCTGGGATCGGGAGGTTCCCCTGGAGCAGTGTGGAAGAAGCTGAGCGAAGCCTTCCGGTGGGGTCATTCAACTTCGAGAACCCGGCTTATCTCGATACCTTCACCACACCTGACATTGCCGGTAATGCACCTGCTGTCTGGACAGTCGTGAGATACCAGGTTGAGAATCCGGGTGCCTGGCTTCTGCACTGCCATGTGCAGACCCATCAGGCTGGGGGAATGGGTATCGTCTTGATGGACGGCATTGACCAGTTTCCGGATGTGCCGCTGCAATACCGCGAATGGAACGGGTTCACTCTGCCCTCTTAGTAGAACATCTCCGTATCTGTCATTTGTTAAAAATACTGAAAAGTGTATCTTCAACTTGAATAAACACAAATCATGTAAGCCTCATTACCTGGAGTCCAGGAGATGTTTTCCCATGAGCCTGGTGATTGATTCTCTTTCTTCAATTGCAAAATCGTCACTTCATCGTCTCTACTTGGCTACAGTGTTTTGATCAGAGCAATACAATAGGGCTTTGTACATGAACCGTCTCTGTGTTTTCAATGATTTTATGCAGTGGTCTACTCAGACTACTCTAGCACTCAGCTTGTGGTATTCTACTTCCTTGGCTTGGGGGCAGAGTTCCACGGAAGCCCACCATCAATAGGCTCGTTCCGAACCCTCTGCGCAATCAGATCCTCCCACTCCTCTCTCGCCAAAGTTGGAATGCCAAGGGCCTTGTTACCCTCTCCGTTCCAGTCGGTCTTGTATTTGCCGCCAAAGATGGTGTAGTGGATGACGAGAAACGTAGCGAAGATAGGAGCCGGCTTGTCTCCAGCTGCCTTGAACATGCCCAGCCCTTCCTGCAGCTTGGCCTCAGCATCCACATGAGAGACCGACCACTTTGCGTCAGACTTCTCTTCCGCAATCCTGAGAATCTCTTGCTGAGAAGTCACAACATCATGGATGTAAATGGGCCCGCTCTTCATCTCCTTCGTCTTGCTAAAGATGGAGACAACAGCTTTTCCAATGGTGTAGCCCCGCGTCATGCTGACTTTGTGGCTACTGTTGCTCTCGTCGCCAACTTGAAGCGCAGTCCGGTCTTGGAAGTTGTACGCATACGCCCCGTTCAGCACACACCCGATGATGGGACCTGTCTGAATGATAGTCCACTTCATTTTTGCGTTCTCTGCCTTCTTCCGCAGGTAGTCTTGGATGCCGACCGCGTCTCTGTAGTACGGCAGACTGGCAACTTGCGGGTTGGTGGAGAGCGCGGTGAAGTCGCTGGGGATGAAGTGCTTGACGGTGCCTGCGGCGACGGCGGCGTCAATCAGCTTGTACTGGTGGGGCCAGCCTGCCATCGAGATGGTCGAGACGACGGCATCCTGGCCTTCTAACGCCTCTGTGAGGCTTTTCGTGGATTCGTAATCTACGACCCGGACGTTGGCCTTGTTATTTGGGTTCGAACGAGAGAGGACCGTCACATCGAAGCCGGCGTCGACGAGTTTGTCGTAGACGTATCCTCCGACATATCCTTTCTGCCCATGTTGTCAGCATACACTCCCCTATGGGCATGGATGGCCTGGGGCTTACCCCAACCACCGCGACTTTGTGAATATCGGTAGTAGTAAGACCAGGCATTTTGGAGAGAAGTGTTCGTGAATTGTCCTTGGAGTAGACGATTCAGACAAAACTCCAGCTTGGGTTTAGATGTCTTCTTCACCTGCTGTATTATGAACCTGCGGATAAACCAGCATGTCTCCAGCGTTGACGAGACCGGTGAATGCTCATAATTGTCCGTTACAGGGTGCTATTCGTTTGCCGTAGTGCTTTCCCGGGGCGCGGGAACCGCCCAAAACTAAGGGAAACGTACTAAACTTTCGGCGATTGGACAACACCCCATCTGGCCGACTCGCGCAATCGCCCGGTACTTTTGTTGAAGCATCATCCGCTTTCTCTAGAATTCCATCATGTCAACCCTATCAAAGCTCAATTTCGCATTTTCCCATATCGCCATAGAATTTTAAGATTTTGAATCATGTTCGGCGCAGGTCTCCAACAGTGGGTGATCAGCCTCTCGAAGCTGGCATCCAGCAATCAGATCCTCTTGGGGAGCCTGAACTCTGCGCCTGGCAGTGCAGCAGTAGAAGACGCGGTTGCATCTTCGACATCATGCGTGAGTCCTTTGAATCAATGAGCTTTGCATGTTGACTTGCTAACTATATCAAAGTGTGAGGCACTTGTCAAGTTGATGGGCAGCCACAATGTGGTGATACCCCGCGAGACAGCTTACACCTCGTCGGTCGGCTCATACTTCAGTCTCAAGAACGCTGAGACTCATCCAGCCTGCATCGTCGTTCCCGAGTCATCTAATGATGTCTCGATTGCAGTGAAATCTCTCACTCGAGGTTTCGAATTACGCAAGAATCAATGCCAGTTTGCCATCCGCGGTGGCGGGCATACTCCCTACAAAGGCGCTGCAAGCATCGACGGCGGAGTCTTGATCGACCTGGCTCGTCTTCCGGCCTCCGGTATCTCATCGGATCGCAAGACCATTGTTGTTAGTCCCAGTCAGACTTGGGACCAGGTTACTGAGCAACTTGACCCATACGGTCTTAGTACCCTGGGCGCCCGTGTCGCGGGTGTTGGTGTGGGCGGTGCAGTCCTCGGCTGCGGTACTTCATTCTTCTCTCCTCGCTATGGCTTCATCTGCGACGTTGTTGAGGACTTCGAGGTCGTCCTTGCCAGCGGCGATATCGTCCACGCGAACGAGGGAGAGAACAAGGACTTGTGGAAGGCCCTCAGAGGCGGCGCCAACAACTTCGGCGTCGTCACAGCCATCACCATGCAGACCTTCCCTCAGGGCAAGTTCTGGGGAGGCCAGACATTCCACGACATCTCAACCCGCAAAGAGCACTTCAAGGCACACGCGGATCTGGCGTCGATGCCATCATACGATCCCTACGTGCACTACATCAACAACCTCGTTCTCAGCAACGCCACCAGGAGCTGGTTTATCGGCAGCAGCTTGCAGTATACCAAGAGCGACCCACCTGTCATCGAGCCTGCCGTCTTCAAGCCCTTCCTCAACATTGCGCAGAAGCCGCTATTCCCAGGTGGCCCGACCAACACTCTTCGAGTTGACAACGTCACATCCGTCTCTCGCGAGTACGCCGCGTTAGCAACATACCCAAAGAGATGGCTGTTCGCCACCATCAGCTTCGCGCCTTCTGAGGAAATGATGGAGGAGTTCTTCCAGATGGCCGACAGAGCCTTCCAACGCTACCTGGATCTTGATGGCTTCTCAGTTGCCATGGCCTACCAGCCAGTTCCGTCCGTCATGGCTGAGCGCCGTGGGGCATCTGACTCAATGGGCCCCATCCAGACGGAGGGCAACCTCATCTACATCCACCTGGCAGTTTCTGTCGACGGCAAGGAGGGGTCTAGCGATGACACCATTGAGCAGGCGGTTCAGGACCTCATTGAAGGTGCCGAGCGCAAGGCCAAGGAGATGGGCGTCTACCGCAGCTACCTGCAGGCAACCTACGCTGAAAGCTGGCAGAACCCGCTTCTTCGCCGCAGTCCCAGCACGTTAGAGCAGCTGATTGCCACGAGCAGAAAGTATGATCCTAAGCAGGTTTTCCAGACTCAAGTTCCGGGAGGATTCAAGCTGCCCCATGGAGGTGCTTTGCAGGAGGAACTATGATGTTGCTGGTGTGTCGGAGTTCACTGTTGATCGGCGGACAGTACCTGGCACCATTGACCAGAAACACATGGATAGGATTGCATTACAAGACAGCTAGCATAGAATTAAAACGCACATTATAAACTTTCATTACCAAATTGACTCTCGTGAACTCTTTGGGAACCATATACCCTCTCAATGATAACTAGCACTAGTTTGTCGGGCGCATGTCGTGCCAGGGTTGATGCCAGGCATTTGTTTGTGGAAAGACAGCCATTTTCAGCGAATTTCAATCAGTCGAACGGCGTCAGCTGAACGACATGGACATAGTTTTGATATGGTTACCTTGTTTTACTGCCAAATTCTCCCCCCGTCATTACCCCTTTGGTGATCAGTTGCCGTACTGGGTGTATGACGGAAATGCCCTCCGAGGAAAAGTAAATCCCAAGTGTTGTGGGAAGCTTCCGGCGCCACGTGGAGCAAGCAAAGGGGCGAAAGGTCTGCAACTCTTAGCCGCCATTTGAAACTCGCAACATGCCAAATCTCCGGTAGACTCCGTTTTCCAGCAGACTCCGTTCTTCGAGGATCGCCGATTGTCGGTTGAGCTCGGGGTTGAAGACCGGTGACTGGGTCCCCTAGCATTGTAGCAAGCACATCATCGGCACTTTCCCGAGGACTTCGCTGTTTCCTTTCAATGCGAAGATAGGTGAAACCCGCCGGTGGTTTAGTTATCTGCTCGTGCTCAAGGGCGTAAGTCTCTGTTGCTGGAAAGATGAGAGCTGCCGATATCCCCCACCGCGGGACCTCTTTAGCTTGTTCCTCAGCTTGTTACTTACTGGTCGGGGGGATCACATTCGGACATTAAGCTATCTTCAGCATCGGATGTCTAAGTGTGTTTGCACATGAAATTTTCTATCTGCTGTGATTGATTCTCTATGACGATAGCTGCAATTTGGGTAATATGAAAAAAAGGGAATCAAAATCCAATCCGATCCAATGCCGATGCCCAACGCCAACGCCATGAAGTTAGCCATCGCTATGAAATGACCTAAACGCCAACAAATGAAAACATGAAGTTGATTCATGCAGAAGATGCTTGCTTCAAACCATCTCTCACCAGCTCCACCAGTCTCTCAGCGCCCTCTCCCCGCATCATGCTAAAGTGATGTTCTCCCTCAACAACTCTGCTGGTGATGTTCGCCCCAGGGAATAGCTCAGCCCACTTCCCAGGCCCGAAATCCTTCCTGCGTTCCGTGAGGAACTTCATGTCATCCACATCCACCTCCCCCTCCTTGGGCGGCGGCATCTTCGGGTAGCGAACACCGTCGAATGCACACTCGCCCGCCCAGATGATGTTGACTTGCAGTCCTCTTGCGCCAGAAGGTGACAACGGAGGGGCATAGTAATCATTGAGCAGCTGCGTTGACGCACGGAAGTGCGGCATCAGCCAGTCGGGCGGCGGGGCATCATCTGCACCCCGGCGCATCTCGTTGGCGAAAATGCCGACCTTTGTGCAATGTTCGTAAAACCTGTCTGGCAGGCAATCCAAGCCGTTGTTGGGTGGCGGTGAATCAATCAAGGTCAGAGAGGCGACCTTTTCACCCGCGGCTATCAACTGCGATGCAATAGCAAAGGCGAGAATTCCGCCGGCCGACCATCCTCCGAGGTGGTAAGGGCCCTTTTCTTGGCGGTTGCGAAGACCGGCAATGTAAGAATCGAGGACGTCTTGGAGGTTGTGATCGTACATGCGAGATGGAGTTCTGCAAGAAAGGTTTGTCAGTACAAGGAAGAGTACAGCAGAAATGAAGCAGAGACATACTTGATAAATGGCGAGTTGAATGCCACAAGTCCCGTAGTCGGGGCAATGGCCGGGAGAGTGAGGTACGATGTCGCAGCACCGCAACCATCAGGGAACAAGAAGAGTGTCTGAGTGGACCTCTTCCGAGAGCCCTGGAGATACATGGACCAAGCCGGGGGAATCGATGGGGCTTTCGGCTTCACGATATCATCCAGTAGGTCATCGATGGACTCGTCGTCAAGAGACGATGCCGGTGTGGGACACGCATCTTCGGTGTCCATGTCCAGAATTGGCGAGGGTCTCTCCACCAGATCCGGCGACTCCAAGTCCACGGAGTCAGAGTCGCTGCAAGTAAGCGTTGTCGACGAAGAGACAGGCGATGCCAAATCAGATCCGCATATGCGCAGCTTGACATCGCCAACGGTGGTGCACTCAACAAAGAGGGCTCGCTCAGGTAGATCGATGTCTAGCTCATCGCGGATACGGCCGCAGACAACCAGAGACAAGAGAGAGTCGATGCCCAAGTCCGCCAAGGCGACATCTTCAGCAAGGTCTCCCTTGTCGATGCCGCTCTCTTCCGACAAAATGGCAAGAGCGACTTCCCACATGTTCGCGGACTCGTTCTGGGTATCGGCAGCCGCTTGAGGGACTGCATCAATTGCAGCTGACGGGGCAACATCGGCGTGTCTCTCGATGGTCGGTGACAGTGGGGCTTGTTGCGTAGGTGCGCGTTGATCTGCTGCTGACGGGATACCACCGGAGACCTTTTTGTTGGCAGAATTGACGATGTACTGCATGAGTCGCTTAGGAACGCCTTGGAGCTGGTCGATGTTAGCCACTGATGGAGTCTACAGGCGACTGCAAATCGACTTACCGTGACACCTCCGACAAACCCGACGAGATTGTAGCTCTCATCAAATACAATGACGTCTCCCATCCAAAGCTTGCTCTCTCCCTCGGTCATCTTGACGTACGAGTAATAAGTCATGTTTGGGTCCAGCTTGGGAGTGAGAAGCTTCATGGACTTCCATCCGTGATTGACAAAGATCTCCTTCTCCAGGTCGACACCCTCGTTGGCGTTCATCACAAAACCACCGAGCTGCGAGATCGCGTCGAGATAGGCTGGGTTGGAAAACCAAGTGTCGTTATCGGGAAGTCCCTTGAAAGAAACCATGCCGGCAGCTTCGAAGGTGTCGTTGTTGAGGGTGACCGCAGAGAGACCACGGTACTTGGGGTCGAAGTCGGCAAGCTGGGTGATCATCTTGTAGATCATGGCCTTGCTGAATCGGAAGGTGTTACCGGCCTCTCCGACCTGTGCATGCAGGGCCTTCGAGCGAGCCAATGCATCTGACGAAGCCGCCTCGAGGGTGGCGTCTGATCTGACTGCCTCGGAAGGAGAGAAGCGGATTTTGCAATTGGCATGTTGCTCGATGATCTTGTCCTTGCTCTGGATATACATGTCAGTATATTAATACTCAATCAGTCATGGGCTGTTCAAACTTACATCCACGCTGGAGAAGGTGCAAAACACGGTGTTGCTCTCCTTGTCGAACTTGGCATCAGTGCGGAGGATCTGCTCCTTGCCGACATCGTTCGCAACCAAGGCGCTTTGAATATGCATCTCCGCGATCTCGGTGACCATTTCATCAACGGCCATACCGGTGACTTGCGTAACGTAGTTGCCGATCATAAGAGAGATATCGGCGTAAACAGACTACGGATAAGAATTAGCTAAGTCATGTCAGAGACAGGTGAATGGCTTACCGGAGTGCACAGTGGAACACCGTAGACCTTGTGTCCTTGAGCCATAGAATGAACGTCCTTCGAGTTGAGATCAATGTCGACCACGACCTGCCCATCGGCGCTTCCACGCAAAGTATCCTTCACCACTCTGTAGATAGAGGAGTGAGGGAACCTGGCAGGGCCCATGATGGCAGCTGGCTCGCCCTTGCGAAGACTCCAATCGTGGACGTATTGCATCCAGTACTCCTTGAGCGTCCACCCGTAGGCTGGTAGCTGCAAGACTTCGTGACACTCGGGAAAGTCTTCGTGGTACTTGTTCCACTCGATATTGACCCCAGCCATGTACATGCCTGCTATGGCTTCCACAAGCAGTTGCCAAGTGTCGATTCCCTTGTGTAAAGAAGCAAACACCTGCATCTGCGGTCCGACGACGTCCTTGACCATGCGGCAGACTACTGGAGCAGGGCCAATCTCGACAGCGATGCTCTTGTCGTTGATGAGATCCTCGCTCTTCGCAATGTTCAAAGCCTCCTGAATGTTGACGGGGTTCCTGCAGTGTCGGACAAAGTAGCCATCGCCGAACTCCGATGACTTGCGGAGAACCTTGCTGAGTGTCGGGGAGATAACGGGTACAATGGGGTCGCGGACTCGAACCTTCGATGAAAGTCTGAAGAACGGAACAAGAATAGGATCAACCTGCGAGGTGTGGAAGGCAAGAGGCGTGTCGAGGACGTGGCATCGCATGCCCTTTGACTCAAGGAGCACCCTGATCTCCAACATCTGAGCGGTTTTTCCACCGAGAACAACGTTATGCTTTCCATTGCGGCAGCAAACCTCGAAGTCTCTCTTGGCGGATTCTGGCAATGCTGCGAGGACGGTGGCCTCTGGCGCTAGCACCACTAGCATGATGTGGGAGCCAGCTGAGAGGTGTTCCTCCATCAACTTGGCTCTGCTGCCGACCAGGTAAATCACGTCGGCTTGAGACAGTACACCAGCCGCGTACATGGCCGCGTACTCTCCCAGACTATGACCAACAACCGCCTGAGGCTTGACGCCGAAAGATTGCCAAAGTCTGCAGAGAGCCATCTGGTAGCAGACATGAGACAGCTGAAGCAAAGTGGGAGATCCACTACCGAAGCTGCTTGCCTGCTCAAAAACAGGAAGAATTGACGGCATTCCCATTTGTGTGCATAGATGGTCGTAGCGCTGCACATCGGTTCTGAAAGACGTGAAGCGCGCGTACAGGTCAGCTCCCATACCGGCCTGTGGAGAACCCTGTCCAGTGAAGGTGAACACGACGCCTGCTCCACGGGGCGGCACAGGAACGCTCTTCTTGTCCCCGGTTCTCCAGTCTAGGTATTTCTGCAAAGAAGACCTGAGCTGATCGAGACTGGCGGCAGGAATCGCAACTCTGTGACGGTGGTGCATCCTGCGAGATGTGGTGGTGTATGAGAGTTTGGGAAGAAGATTCGTATCCCAGAGTGTCGCCGGGCCATCAAGCCACTGAATCATATTTCGGAGATTTGCGACCAGAGAGTCTGGAGTCTTTGCGGAAATGGCAACAATATGATGTTGTCTCGGGTCTCGAGTCTTGATCTTGCGGGGAACAGGTGCGTCTTCCAGAATCATGGCGGTGTTCCCTCCAGCGGCGGAGAAGTTGTTCAGCAAGACACGACGGGTTCCGTTTTGAGGTCTAGGCCACTCGGTTGCTTCCATCGCAATATGGGTATTGCGCGATGGCAGATCAGGCAGTCTATGGTTGACCTTGGTCTTGATTCCGGCATGGGGCGGAAGAGTGGAGTGCTTCATCATCAGAAGCACCTTGGCCAAACTTGTAACACCTGCAGCAGCCTCTCCGTGTCCCACGTTTGACTTCACAGCACCAATGTGAAGAGGGTGTGTCGCAGGTCGAACGGATGAGCCTCGCGCCGTCAGGGGAGAGAGCGTTGTCACGACAGACGTGGTTTCGCCCGCATCTCCGGCTTGAGTACCTGTGCCGTGCATCTCGACGTAACTGATGTCGCTGGGACTGATGTTTGTCTCGGCGAGGAGATAATCGAAAAGCTCCATCTGAGCCTCGGAATGAGGTCTTGTGATAGACTCTGCCTCTGCGTTGTGGTTGGTCGCAATGCCCCGAATACAGGCCTGGATCGGGTCCTTGTCTGCCATGGCATCGTCTAGTCTCTTCAGAATGATAGTGACAACGGCCTCACCGCGGCAGTAACCGTCAGCGCTATCGTCAAATGTCTTGCAGTTTCCAGTACGAGATAGGAAATGGCCCCGGTCTAGGCCAGCAGTCATGTCGGGATTCGTCAGAACATTGGTGCCGCCAACAATGGCCGTGTCAACTTCTCCTCGCCACAGCGCATTGCATGCTAGGTGCAAAGCTGCGAGACTGGAGCTGCAGGCGGTATCAATCGTGTAGCTGGGCCCGCGGAACTTGAAGTGATAGTTGATGCGGCCGGGAATGAAGGCTCGGTTGCCACCCGGAATGAAGTAGGTGTCAATGTTCTGTGCGCTATTTGTCTCCATCCAGTCATTGCTGGTAGATCCAAACCAAACGCCCACGCGGTGCTTCTGGGTCGATGGCGTGCGATCAGGTACAATACCTGCTTGCTCAAGAGCCTCGGCCGCTGTCAAAAGAGCCAGGCGTTGAGCGGGGTCCACTTGGGAAGCCTCTCGCGGTGACATGTTGAAGAATGCAATGTCAAATTGAGATGCTTGGTGCAGCCAGCAGCCGAAGCCGGTTCCTGAAACATTCTTGTTGCTGGTGTCTCCAACATGAGCTGAGGAGTTCCAACGAGAAGGAGGAACCATCTCGTGGGTGTCAACGCCACGGATGAGAATGTCCCAGAAGGCGTCCATCGTGTCTGCACGGCCTGGAAATCTGCCAGAAGCAGCAAGAATTGCGATAGGAGACTTTGAAACTCCTCCATTTGATCTTAATGATGAGTCCAAGGCAGGATCTTCGGTGGTGTTATGGGATGCTTCTCTTACAGAGAACAAGTCTGTGGGCAACTGGCGGCGGAGGGGAGGCACCAAGCGCTCTGTGCCTTTGAAAGCAATTGGCTGTATAACCACTTCCGTGTTAATTTCAGACACAGACTTTGAAGCATTCTTGACGTGCTGGGCAAGGCGCTGGGGGAGCTGATCCAAGGCCATTTGCCGTTGAAGACAGTCTCGCACAGCCTCTTCGAGAACGTGGCGAAGCGTCGAGCCGCTGACAACTTCTTGACAGTCGGCGCTGGTGGAAATGATGGGAATCTGACTGCGAGGCAAATTGCTCTTGGGTAGACCGGACAATACTTGAGCAATATCTCCTTCGCTGTAGAGAAGGGCTGAATGGTAGGGAGCCGCGATGGGGAGGACTGTGCTGGTTGGCGCAACAGCTTTTCCCATTGCTGAAGCCAGGAAGTCGGTAACAATACCCGGGGGTCCAGAAGCAGTTGATTGGGTTGGGCCCTATCACGAAGTTAGTCACATTACTAGCGGAAATAGCATATGGGACTGGTGTTTACATACCACGATCGCAGAGATGTAGGGAACGGAAGTGATTGGAAGCATCGTCTCAGCAGCGTACTGCTTCAGAGCATCGGCAAGTGCTTTGGGACTTGAGCCTGCAACAACGTATGACCAAGCAGCGAATTCGCTAGTAGAGCTCGATTTTTCATCATCGTTGTTGATTCTACCGGAAACGTCCCAAGCAAGAGCTCCAAGACGAACGGCGATTGCCACAGCGTGCAGAGCAGGCTCCATCAGGCTGGACACGCTGTGAGCACAGCTCACTGCCGCCGCAGCAAGAGCGCCCGTACATACACCGGCAAGGCATGACTGCTCGGGGGTTGGATATACTTGGCAGCCGCTGCTGTGTTGGCGAATGAAGAGACCCAACTGGGCTATACAGGTCAAAGCCTGAGACAGGCAGGGGTTGAGGGCGCCAGCGCGGTAGTGTGACAGTAAGTCTGCGATCTTTGCAAAGCGAGGGCATCGCGACTGTTGTGCTGAAGGCAGTTGTGCGATTTCACGCTTGAGCACGGCGCAACTGCGTTCGATGAAGTCCGTAACGAGGGGATCATTGTGTGTTTGCCCGAGACTGCGCAATGTTTCTGCGCTGTCATAGGTCTGGTCGCCGAAGACATAGGCGTAAACTTCCTTGTGGACAGCCATCGTGTAATGGTGTATGTCTTGGGTGGCAGTGCACCAGTATGGGCGGGCGTAAAGAGAATGAATATAGAAGACTAAAGATCACCAAAAGACGAGAGGCTGAGAGTTATGGTTTAGATGAAAGATGACTTGCATCCGAACTCAAACGTAGCTGATATAAATCGAAGACTTCATTCGTTCGATGACGACTGATGACGAAGTAAATTCTCGTCGTCTGGAGATTTCATGCATCTTTAAGAGATAATTTGGACATCATGAGATGACTCGGCTTTTTCCATCGTGTAGTTGGTGTTACCGAGTCCCCGTAGTTGCGGTTTTCAGGTTCCCGAGGGGGCATTATATTCAATACCCCGAAACACAATGACTTTCGTCTGCCCACTTTTCGCAACCCAGACTCAAGGGACCGTCAACAAAACACATCCGTCTCAGTCATTCCCTCTTTCAGGTTCACAATCATCATCCTATCATTCATTCAGCCGCTGAAAAAATCACTCTTGTTTGTTTTGACAATGGATCTGTACCAGAAACTCAAGAGCTCTCTGGATGAGATTGCGTTACACGGCCCGGAGCTGCTGTGTCACCTGGATACAGAGTCGCACAATGGTGCATCCGGCCAAACTACACTGGCTAGCTTGCTAGAAGATACTTCGAGGTCTTCGATTCAGTATCCGCGGAAAAAGCTTATTGAGTCGGCCACTATGTTACTCCAACTTGCCACCACCGCGGATGGATACCTTGAGCACTTAGCCAACAGCGTAAGTCTGACATAGTGTTACTTCTCATTCATTTACTTGCTTACAGTGAGAACAGTATCAGGAATTGACCTGTGTACGCTGGCTGGTGGATCTCAATGTTCTCCATCATCTTCCTGCCACAGGGTCCATCGCCTATACCACCTTGGCAGCCGACGCGGGTGTTCCTGTGAAGCATCTCAAAGGTGTTGCACGCATGGCCGTAGTCAACGGCTTCCTCGAGGAGCCTCTCCCCGGCCACGTAGCTCATAGCCGCGCGTCATCTCTCCTCCTGCGGGATGACAATTTCATGAGCTGGGCACGCTGGATGATGAACTACTCCATGCCGGTGGCGTATCGATTCGCCGACGCCACTCGCCGATGGGGTGATACCGACGCCAAAGACCAGACGGCTTTCAACCTGGCCCTTGACACCCCGGACCCGTTTTTCGACCACATCCGTAAGAACGCGGAGCTGACATCGGTATTTTCCGACTACATGCGCAACGTTACCGCTTCCCGGTCGTGGAGCTTGGCCCACGCGGTTGAGAGCTTTGACTGGGGCTCTCTCCCCGATGGCGCCAAGGTTGTTGACGTGGGGGGATCTCACGGCCAACTTGCCGCGCAAGTCGCGACTAAGTTCCCGCGCCTTAAGTTTATCGTTCAGGACTTGCCGGAAACCGTTGCAGCTGCCCAGAAAGCCTTTGAGGCAGACGACAAGCTCGATGCCGCGGTCAAGTCGCGGATGCAGTTCATGTCACACGACTTCTTCAAAGCCCAGCCTGTGGTCGATGCAGATGTTTACTTCCTTCGAATGATCATCCATGATTGGCCGGACAGAGATGCCCGCATCATTCTTCAGCAACTCCGCGAAGTGCTGGAGAAGCGTCCCAATGCCCGCGTGGTGATCATGGACACACTGCTCCCTCCGCCAGGCTCAACGGCAGTCCTCCATGAACAGCAGCTGAGAGTACGCGATCTCATGATGATGCAAGTCTTCAACGCGAGTGAGCGCGAACTCGATGACTGGAAAGTTCTGCTCAACGAGGTCGGGATGCAGATCACGCATCTAGAGCAGCCCGAAGATAGCGTGATGGGGTTGTTGACAGTTCAGCTGAAGCCTACCACAAACGGCAACCCTGTCAAAGAGTCAGCGTCCGATCTGCGCAACGGCTGCACACCCAAGAGCCCGATCACACCCACGAGTGCGGATCAGCCCGTCCTCATCATCGGGGCAGGAATAAGCGGTCTGTGCCTGGCCCAGGCATTGAGGAAAAGCCAAATCCCCTTCCGGGTTTACGAGCGCGATCCAGCTGTCGACTCGCGACCGCAGGGATACCGCTTGAAGCTCCAGGGTGATGCCGCTGAGGCGCTCTCCGACATTCTGCCCAAGGATGTGTACGAGATGTTCCAAACCTCGTGCGCTACTCTGTCTATCGGGGAAACAGACTTAGACCCCTTTACGGGCATGGTCGTCAAAAGCCGGTCTGGTGGAGGCTTGAGCGGCAAGATTGGCCTTAACCCGCACTATTGCGTCGACAGATCATCATTCCGAAAGATTCTGATGGCCGATATCGAGCAGCACATCTTCTTCGGAAAAGAGCTTGATTCATACAAGACCGATGCTGAGCGTGGCGTGGTCACAGCTACCTTCAAGGACGGCCATACAGTCAAAGGCCGATTCATCGTGGGCGCTGATGGCTTACACTCGGTGATTCGCCGTAATCACATCCCGAAGTCTCTGCTCAAGGACACCGGGGCTGCATGCATCTATGGAAAGACACCTCTTATACCTGAGGTACTTGCGAAGTTCCCCGAGAAAGGAGTAAGGTGGATGACAGTCGTCTCCGATCACGCACCCATGCTCCAGTCTTGCTTCATCGGGGATTCTCCGGTCACCCTCCTGTTGGAACCTATTCGGTTCAGCAAGGCAAGCCGTTCGCAGCATTCCTTGCCAGAAGACTATCTCTACTGGGCACTCATCGGCCCTGAGCCCCGCTTTCGATTTCCCGATGGCACCTCGGCGTCCAAAGTAGGGGGTCTGACATCAGGACAAGTCCCAAACGATGCTGCCAACCTCAGCTTGGCCATTACGGAAGAGTGGCACCCTTCCATCCGCTGCATGTTCGAACTCCAGGACACGCGGCAGGCAACACTCATACGTGTTGTATCTTCGGTCCCAGACGTTCCCGCATGGCAGCCCTCCTCCATGGTGACGGTACTCGGTGATGCAGTTCATCCCATGAGCCCCTGTGGTGGGATTGGGGCCCAGACCGCGATTTGCGACGCTGCTAGTCTTGCCAAGATTCTCACAGCAACTCAGGGATCACCTTCCTCGCAAGCTGTCGGGGCATTTGAGGAAGGCATGCGCAATCGAGCTCATCGCAGCATCAAGCATAGCGAAGTAGGTTCACAGAAGATGTTTGGTCTGCGGTCTTTGGCAGACTGCAAGCCCTGGACGGGGTGTTAGGCAAATGATCGCGATCATGAGCCCTTTGGGATGTTTGGACTACTCTTTAGATCTTAGTTTACTCTTATTGTAACATTGTTTCCAAGAACCATAAGATGCATGTTGAGCCTGTAACACCATATGGACTCCTAATCGGCTCAGTTGGCTGGTCTGATTCCAGCTGCGAGTGAAGCCAAGCATGGGGCTCTGTGCAATCGCGATCTTTCTCGTTTAGAGGATTTGAAACCGCGTAGATCTCGATGGATTAGTTGAGGACCGTTACCACGGAAGTTAGGAGCCATCTGATCGAGATCGCAATCACAAGAAACGATTACCGGGGTTCGACACCGAGAGTTGGAAGACGTGGCTCCACTTCTCGGGGTGGATTCGCCGATCTTGTCGAGTTGGGATATGGCTGTGCGGTACCGATGCGTAGGTTCACTAGAAGGGCCTTTCTACTCTGCATTAGAGACTCGACTACATGGACTACTGTCGCAGACTTGAATCGGTGCTTCTATGTCCAGACAATGTTTCACCAGGCTACTTGGGGGTAAGAGACACGTGGGATCTACCGAGCGTCGGGTGGTCTGTCATCTTGACGGGGATCAATATTGCGGGAAAGTCTTTGGCACCTGGCCAAAGTTTGGAATCGCCGGCTGTAATTGAGTAATCGGTAATCCGGTATGTGGGAGGCTGCCGGAACATTACGTTCCCATTCTATCAAGATGCGGTGCCATCTATGCGCAAGAATAGAAACCGCATGGACTTCAATTCCTTCATTCACATCAACAATGAAATAGATCACCAAGAACAGAATCTTTATCTATTCAAAGCCCGTAAGACAACGCCGATGCGTACAGCCTTCCAAACATCCGGAGATACCATATGTTCATGCGCTGGGGCTGGAGGCAGGACATTCAACATTTAATTGGAGTAAATGCATGCTGCTGACTGACGGGCCCTTTGTAAATATGTGGAATATCTTCCTGTTTAGGATATCTTTGCTTGCCTACGAGAAGGCTTGTGGTCGGTGATCTTCCTACAGAAGGGGACAAGAAGTCTGGAACAAATGAAGTATATTCAGATGCTGAGGGGGTGCCTGCGATAGGTGGGGGTTGTGTGGGGTGGATACTGCTTCAAAAATAAGCTTCTTAGTGATGGGATAGGCAAATGGTTCGCCAGCCAGTTGGAAAGTCATGAGATCATACGGAACAATTCGCTTAGGGCGTACGGGTGCTCGTACGGATGAACGGCGGACCACCAGATAATACTGCGTAGGACTATTCTCTACGGACCTGTCTGATTGGCTCAGGCTAGGATTGTCGGTATCGGTTTCTTTCAAAGAAGCTTTCTTGATACGCTAACTAAACCTTCTTGATATCGGGGATTAATGATCCATGTCTGTGTACCTCGTCCGCGGTCCCCGCAAGGTTGCCGAGACAGACCACGAGGGCGGCTTCCCGCTCCTACATCTGTGGGATGCCTTGATTTTCCGTGTCGCGGTAACCGTTGGATGACAGAAAAGTCAAGATGACAGAAGCCCGGACGAGGAGCCCACGACAATCGCGAACCGTGAACGCTGTGTTGTTGAGTGGGAAAACTGCCTACGTGAAACTTTCACGGGGAGCTCGCGATCCGTCGATGTAAACCCGTCTTAAAAAGAGAAACCAAGTCCACAGTCTCACCTCTCAACATTAAGTGCTTAACGTTGTTGGCTGGAACGCATTGACAACCCACACCCTTGCAAAAAGAAGATCGTCCATTTTTCCCCATTTCTCCAAATTCTTCAGTCATGCCTAGCGCCGCCCAAAAAGACGAGCTCTTTGAGCTTGTGTCGTCGATTCATTCAGCAGCGGCGGATATAACGAAGTTCTGCGAAAAGCGTCGGCTCCCACAACCATCCTCTTCGGCTCCCGCGCCTAGCCTTGACCTGACTCTAGAAAATGCGCCATACTTCAACGCAAAGGCCGCCATCGTTGACGCTGCGGAGCAGCTCATTCGGCTTATCCGGGGTCCAAGGGAGCAGTTGCTGGCATTGAGTTTCGAGCATTGTGCTTCGGCCTCCTTTCAGGTGATTCTCAAGTACAAGTTCGCCAGCCACGTCCCGCTCAAGGGGACCACCACATATGCGGCGATCTCTCAAGCCGTCGGCAAGCCTGAGATTCAACCGGCGCTTGTTGCGCGTATCCTTGAGCATGCCACGTCTTACGGCTTGTTCGATGTTCAACCCGGTGGGCTGGTAGCGCACAACCCCACATCTGCGCTTTTGGTCGCCGATCCTGATCTAGAGGCTTGGATGGATCTCAGCGCAACCATCGCGTATCCCGCGGGCGCTTCCATCCCGAAGGCTCTTGAACAGTATGGCTACAGCATGGAGGCCGATGAAGCTCCTTACGGGGTATCCATCGGTCGCAAAATCTCCCAATTCCAACGATTCCGCGAGGCCGACGGGACTCAACTGCATGAGATGTTCGCCCGTGCGATGCGCGGAATTGCCGCGGGAGGTGCCTACGATTTCCGCCATGCGGTGAACGGAGGGTATCCCTGGCACACGTTGGATCAGTCCGGGCATCTCATCGTTGACGTCGGCGGCGGTCCAGGCCATGTGTCAATCGCGCTGGCCGAGAAGTACCCCAAGCTTCGATTTGAGGTCCAGGACTTGCCGGAGACCGTAGCCGTTGGCGAAAAGTCCTGCCCAGAGGCTCTCAAGTCGCGCATCATGTACAGGCCCCACGATTTTATGACGCCGCAGCCGCCTCATGATGTGGCTGACAACGAGGGCATTGCCTATTTCTGTCGCTTCATCCTCCATGACTGGAGCGACAAGTATGCGCGGAACATCCTGCAAGGCCTTGCATCTGCTCTGCGGCCACAAGACCGGATCATCGTCAACGAGGTTGTCGTTCCAGACCCTGGAACGGAAAGCCGCGAGAGAGAACGCCGGATGCAGTAAGTTCACCGCTTTTACATCTAACAGAGATTGAGCTGACAATTCCAGTGACCGTGATATGTTGATGCTCATGAATCTGAACGGCCGCGAGAGAACTAGAGCAGCATTTGAAGACTTGTGCAGCTCTGTGACGCCTAAGTTGCGAGTGCATAGGATCCATCGTCCAGACCAAGGCGAGCTCTCACTGATTGAGATCACACGGTCTGATTCTTCCTTGTAAATAGCAATTTGAATGATACGAAAGATTTCAGAGAGACTGCTAATGCACACATCTGGGACATAGAAAGAACGTTTGAATGTTCATGAGGCACCTAATGAATTATTCCATAGTAGATTTGTCTTTTATATTTTATCAGAAGTTGGCCGTTTCTCATTTGACTCCCAAAATAACATGTCCAAAATTCAGAATAACCTTCAACTCCGAAACCGAAAGGCCGACGTGGGAACCCCATCGCCGACTAATGGGACTAACTGCCCACAAAGGATATCTCCAACCCGCTTCGAGCCAATGCCTAATAGCAACAAAGATGCTGTACAGATCGATTCCCCGCGCCAATATGCCTAATAGCAACCTGGTATCATATATGCCTAAAAGCCGACCCGCTGATATGCTCATGCCTCCATTCCTATGCTAAGTGTCCACTGCTGTTTCAAGTGAGATTCTCCAGCTCGCATCCATGGCTCTGTTTGCCCGTCCCCTAATTATAACTCAAAATACCAATAACAATCGAAGACCCCCAACAGATGAAAAGAAATGTTTAACAAATTTGCTTGATGGTGTTTGCCTTCGCAGAAATCCGGTTGAGCTCCTCCGAAAGAGCAAGGTGGTGATGTTCGATAACGCTAGAAGTACGCCGGCCGGAGGTGGACGGCTCCGAGGAATCGTCCGCCATTGATGCCGACGTTGACGGATGTCTATGACGCAATCTCTTCAAGAGAGGGTGGACGTGATCCTTTAGCTGAGTCAAGACAAGGTGCGCACTGACTAGTCTCTGGGCGTCGTTGTCCAAAGAATAGCTTCCCATGAATGAACTGGTTCTCGCGATCCGTCTGAACATCCGGGGTGTGGCTGGATCGTCGTCTTCCTGCGACGCCTCATCGTCGTCGCTACCGAGCACCGCCGCATACCACTCCACAGCTTTGGCGATGGCCAGGTAGATTAAGACCAAAACCTCCTGCCTGGTAGAACAGCGGCAGTCGAGCAAATTGTCGAGCCTCTTCAGGGCCTTTCGGTTTTCCGACAGGACTGTCCCCATCTCTCTCGGAGTGTCTTCAGTGTAGCACCCCAGATTAAATGGAGAAATGGGGTCTTTCGCTGCAGTTAAGCAGCCAGCTGCCAAGACATGAAAATCAGCAACTAGCATCAGAGCCTCGGTGGTGCAGTCGTGGACTTTGCTGGGCCGGAATGCGTCACAGTCGATGGATGAACTTCGTCGACTGTCCACGCTGCCTGAAAGGTCTCTAGTCGGTTGCTGCTGTTCGAGGGACTGAAGGCCGTGATCCTGATTGAAGTTGTTGAAGCTGTATTCTTGGGTAGATGGCGTAGGTAGCAGGCCGTACGATTGATTGAGAGAATCCTCTTGCTCATTTGGAAGTCCGAATTCGGGTGTTCCTGCATTGCTTAGGCGAGTTGCCTGCAGGACCCAGTCGATGTCATCTTGGACGTCGTCCATTTGGGCTGTTCCAGCAGTGGGGTCCGAGGAGTGGTCCATTTGCGTGAGAGTAAATGCATTCTCGATCGTCGACTGTGGAGCGTCTCTCGATGAGATCGGGGTCGTGTTGCCCGCCTCTCGTTGCACGATTGGAGAAGCAACTACACGAGGGCGCTCCCCAGTACGCATCGACATGCCATACTCACAGCACAGCCCCTTCATCGTGCATCGACTGCACTTTGGGCGTTGTTTACCGCACCGGATCTTCTGAGAACTGCACGCGTTACATGACTGCCGTACTTTCCGTTGCTTGCGGCTAAAGGCATGGATTGAGTCTTGGATAGGTGTACGGGTTGCCATTGATGATGCGGACAAGTTGACAGTGAAACCATTGGCAACTTGACAAGCAATGCAGACAGGCGAGTACTTAATCATAGAGACTTGGCAACCTGTCGATCAGGGGACGCGGCTTACTCCGCTACTTCCTGGCAGAAGGGTGACTTCGCGATCGCGATCGATGACGGCAAATGCCTTAATGTGGTATGTGGGATTTCGGCTGATGTTACGTGAGTCGAATATGAAGGCAGACTGAACACTTCCGTCAGAGCAGCGTGCGATTAACTTTGTTTCATTGATTCACTGTTATGTTAAACTCTATAGTGGCCGGTTCTCAGGTCAGTGTCCCCCGTCCCAAGATTTCCTCCACTTTCAAACGTCGATGGGCTGTAGGGCAACCCGATGAATAGATTCTCGTCCTATGTTCTCACAACTACGAACAGTTCCACAAGCTTGTCAATACGGCGCGGCCAATGAGGCTCTTGATTACGATCTTTACTTCAGTCGTGGCTTTCGGGACTCGATACCGAGACTGAGAAGTTGCCATTATCAGACTGGATGAAGCAGTGACCTAATTTGGTTATTTTTTTGGCGCTTACATCTCCTCTTTCCGGATGAGGCAATCCACCTTTCCGGCATTCCATCCATGAACGTGTCTCGCGTGGAAAGCAGACAAACGAGTTACGGATGAGATATACAACAAACCTTCTGCTTCGACATGCGATGACCTGCAGTGCTGCAGTGCAGGGGCACGACTCGCGATATCAACTCGCCGGACTACTCCTTTCGAATTCGTTTCTGGAATCACGCAGCGGTTGTCAGGTAAGGCGTGCCGCGCGGGTGGGACGAGCAGGTGGGATACGCCGACAGAACTCCCTAAGTTGGGGTAGCTCTGTGACAAGCTGCTTCCGCAGGTGGGGTACGGCGAGAAGCAGTAGAACTCTAATTACGTGAATGTCGTAAACTCACCGGCCGTGGCATGCGAGAGCGACAATACCATTCGACTGGGAACGAAAGCCTAATAGACTCAATGTGACTGCCGGACCCAGTACGAAGATCCCAGCCACGGCAACGCGGCACTGGGCAGCTGGGCAGCACATCGAGAACTGCTTTCTGCAATAATGCCATCGGCCGCTGACAGTCATGGGGGCAGGGAGTGCCGTTGCTGCTGGCCGAACTCTGACGAGGGTTCTGAATAAGACTCCTTGGTGACATGCGCTGTAGAACGCCGTTGGAAACTCGAATCCGACGCGCTGGTCCTGGTGTCGGGGTCGGCACGGAACCCGTGCATCCCACTTTCCTGTTTCCGGCAGCGGGGCTGTTCCGACTGCCTCGGGTCGGTCTGGCAAACTGGTGTAGATAAAGGAGGCGGCTGGCATCTCAGTCGAGCTGAAGAACGATCACTCACCTTAAGTTCGATCAACAGGACGGATTACAGTTCAAAGCTGTAGTGGTGAAGTCGTACGCAGATCCACTCGGGATAACACCGGTGTGTGCCGTCTTCCCCAACCCCAGCCCTATACGCGGACCAACGCGACGATTCATGCGCTTTTAGCCGCGTATCACGTTGTTAGTCGTCAGAGAGAACGCCGACGGTTTCGAGAATTATGGAGAGAATGTCAACAAAGTTTCCGCCTCGGGGACCAGTTCGTGATGAGTTTCTGGTGTTTTATGGAGATATTATCGGAAATGGCTATATCAGCCTCTAATATGGCAGTTTTGCAGATCTCGATGCTACGGCGCTTGGCGTTCCCACGTTGAAACCAACTGTCAAATTAGACGTCGCTATACCGTATACAGGGTTCTCGTACACTCGGGATTTGGTAATGCTCCGGAGATGTTGGCCTCGTGATATGGTTGATGCAACGGGTGTTATCTTGTCACAGCGGTTTCCGCCCCCAAGTTGCATTTGACGAAAACGAACATATGTCGGTGAAACGATGGAATATTCGAAAAGGTTTTCTGCCTCTGTCTTCAACGTCAGCGAAAGATTGAGCGGGTGTCATGTCGTGAGGCTGGGGTTGAATTGATTCAAGAACTACTGCCACCATCTCAGGGTCTAGAAATTTCGGCCGGGACCTGACACATGAAAGTAAAGTTTGGTGTGTCCTCGGGACCGGAGTTGGGACTGAAGCGCCGGGCCCGACCCAAGCTGGCGGTGCCCGCTTTGTCAGGACATTGGACGGCAGCACGGCGAAATTTTCCACATCTGATACTACCTGCGACTCATTGGAGTTGAATCGCTGCGACGCAGTCTAGACCGACCTATCCGCGAGGGGGATTACTGCGCGGAATATAGCCTGTAACGGCTGCCCTTCGGCACTCGAGGGCAGCAATTCTTAATTCGACCGACGGTTGAATAACTGTTCATCATGTTTTGGCTGCTTGGGGGTTGCGAGGGAGGGCATCACCAAGCAGTGAGACTTGTACGCTCGCTGGAATGTTACCATTTGGGACACAATCTATAGCGCAACAACCCTCATTCGCAACTGTACTGCGAGAGGTGTTCCACAGCGTGAACGCAACAGCCACACCTCAAGTCAGGAAATCGTTCTTTCCGGGGCAGAATATTTGCTGACATGCGGCCGCGAATCGTGAGATGAAGATTGTCCTTCACCTGCATGGTGAAAAACCTTCTCGTACCAATTACCACCGGGCACTGCTGTAGAGCACTTATTCAGGAGTTACTGATGAGTGGTTTGAATCATGAAGCAATACGCTGAGTCGTATTCGGTACAGAATGTGTTCTGCACTGAGTATCATCGGAAAACTCCAAGTTTCCATAACTAGGTAGCGATAAATCATTTGCCTGCCGAGTTTCCATTCAGGTCGGCGGTTGCGCCCTGATTCCTAGGCCAAAGAGCTGGTTTTCCAAAAGTTCCCCAGGGTCGGCATTGATCAGCGCACTAGTCCCCTGCCATCGTAGTCCCGCTCGCTACAATATGATTCAGAGGCTTGCACTCGGGTAAGACGCAAAAACCAGGTCATCAATTGGTCAGCAGTGAAATTGCAGTG